AAGAAGACCTTGCTGCTGCCAGGACATCCTAGATTCCCATGAGCCACTCCCGTCCATTGCCTTTGATTACAGTGCACCCCCGGCCCCTACCCCCATATCCAAAACTAGCCCCTTGCATCACATTCTCAGATCTGGCAACCCCTAACTTCCTCCTGACACACCCTCCCGCACTTCCCCTTTGCTCAGCCCCACAACTAGCTACAAGATGAAGGGTGGTTGTCCTGCTGATGGTGATAAAGACACAGGGGCAAGAGCTACTGAACTAGGCATGCCTGCCTTTGCCTCCTCATGGCCCCGGCCTGGTCTCCACAGCTGCTGGGGTGGGGAGGGGGCCCTCTGAGTCTCACATCCTCACTCGTTGGGCATGCATGGACCATTGAGCCAGTCAAATTGCCAGAGTTCTGTGGAAGCCTGAGCCCATGAGGGAGGGGCGCTGAGGACAGAGGCAGGAGGATCTGAGCACAAAGCCACCTTGGGTAGCATAGTGAAGTGTCTGAAAAGAAAAAAGAAAATTAAGTCACGTTTGGTGGTTCATGCCTGTAATCTCAGCACTCAGCACTCAGTAATCTAGAGCAGCAAGATCTTCTTTTGTGTAGGAGAAGACGGTGTGTGTGTGTGTGTGTGTGTGTGTGTGTGTGTGTGTGTGTGTGTGTAAGAGAGAGACAGAGACAGAGGCAGGGCAAACCTGGGCTTCAGAGTAAGACACAGTCTCAAAAAACATTTTTTTAAAAGAGGTTTCCACTGAGGGGAGGCTTGGTGGGCTGGGGGTGAAGGGAGCTTCCAAAAGTAACCTTGGACTTAGAACAAATAAACTGAAAGCTCTCCTGGAAGGTGGGGAAACTGCCCAGAGCTGACAGGGGGGTGCCGTGGCCTACATGCTCTGTAAACCTGCTATGGGGAAGCTACAGGGCCAGAGTCTGAAAACTCCCGAATGCCCAACTGAGGAGAACTTGATTCAGGACCACGAACCAGGAAGGAAGCTGAGAATTGCAGCCTCTTACAGAAAACTGGTTTCTTCTCGGTTATTACCTCACCGAAAGTGAGTTCCAGGAGCACACATGTCCAGAGGTCAGCTAGGCACTGTGGCTTGTAAGGCAAGGTCAGCCTCTCCGCGAGCTAGGAACCTGCCCGGAGAGCAGGAAGGTCTGCATTATGACACGTAACTGTTACCTACTTGTCAATTTGCCTTAAGTAGGAGGTAACACTCTTCGGAAGACCGTGGTAGAACTGGGAAACAGTGGAGGACTTCCATGACAAAACCTTGTCAAAGCAAAGGGAGTTAGTGGCACAGGGAGCTAGGGTGGGTAACTGTGTAGTTGTGTGGCCGTATAGCTGTAGGACTATATAGCTGTGTGGCTGTATAACTACGTGGCTGTGTAGAGATGTGGTTTTATAGGGGTGTGGCTATATAGAGGTGTGGCTGTAAAGCTGTGTGGCACTATAGCTGTGTGACTGTATAACTGCGTGGCTGTATCGCTGCGTGGCTGTATCGCTGCGTGGCTCTATAGTTCTGTGGCTGTATCACTGCGTGGCTCTATAGTTCTGTGGCTGTATCACTGTGTGACTCTACAGCTCTGTGGCTGTATACTTGACAACTTTTCTCCACTGTGATAAACTCTGTGAAAGGGGGGAGGATTCACTGTGGTTTACAGTTTGGGAGAATTCAGTCCACTGTGGGAGAGGGAGCCGTGGTAGCTAGAGGGTCTTGCAGCTGAGGCAAGGATTTGTATGTCCAAGTAGATCAGGAAGTCCGGCAGGGGCTGGAAGCAAGCAGAGCTATAAACCTCAAGGCCTACCCTCCAGTGTGTGGTTCCCTTCAATTAGGACTCAACTCTTGAAGACTCCAGAGCCTCTCAAAACAGAGCTACCAGCTGGTGACTGAATGTTCCAACATGAACTCGGGGACATTTCATATTCATATAGTCATGCTGGGACACCACCCATCCCTCCACTCAGGCTGTGGAAGAGCTGCTACATCAGTAACTGGGAGCAAGTATGAAAGACTGAGAAGATGAAAGACCCATGCAAATACTAAAGTCCCCTCTTCCTGGCCTCCCGAGTATGCCATTAGAGGGAACTCAGGGATGGCTTCTGAGTGGCCATAATGAAAACTTCTTAGCTGGAAGCTGAGAAAACATTGAGCTTTCTAGAGCTGTAGAAATGCCAGCGGGGCCTCAGGCCAGAGTTGAAAGAACCCTGCCAGGCCCCAAAGACAGGCTGTCACTGCCACTGCCCCGGTATAGGTGCTCCTGCTGTAGCCTGGTCCATGAGTACCGCCACGTGGGGTGCTTCGAGAAGCATTCCCTGGGACTGGGTCCTCCCGACTGCTGCCACTCTGCTGTTATCACTGTCACCAGATGGGGTAGACACCCTACAAGGAACGCCACCAGAGAGTGTAGACGCCTTACAAGGAATGCCAAGAAAATGCTTTCATTACGTGGGCAGTGACGCCCCAAATCTATCACCACCACAGCCTTCTCTCTCACGTTAAGGTCTTCATATATGACATTTCTGGTAATTTTGAGAAGGGGGTGTTCAAAGGACTCCCCTCTTTTCTCACCTTCTCTAGCATGGTACATGATCCGCTTCTTTTAAGCAGTGCCCCTATTGTCAGTGCGACCATAAACAGGCAGCAGATTATCTCCAAACTAATCATCTGTAGGTTTTCAAAGGATCAATTGGGTTTTGTTGGAATTAGCACATCAGACTTTGGAGTCATAAGAGCCAGCCAGCAATGCTTTCTTTCAGATGTGTTTGGTGGGGGGATGGGGGGAGAGGGGCTAAATGCTCCAGAAAATAGCTTCCTCCAATCCTGCTTTTATTACAGCGAGTCTTCCTAAGTCGCTCGTTAGCTCCTAATTATTTGCGAGGGCTGGTCCTAGATGAATGGGCTCACCAAATAAAAGGTTTGCCAAGTTGGTGGACTGCTGCCATCTACTGACGAATGGTGGTAAAAGGTGGGTCCATTTTGAAGCTTCCCTGGACTTACAGATCTTATTCATAACCATGCCCATAGGTCAATTGGGGGGGTTGGGGGAGCAGATTCTTTCATTCTAGATTCTCACAGTCTATTAGTTGAACCATTCATTGAAGGTAAAACACACAGTGTGGCGTCATCTTTGTTATGTTTCAGGAGTAAAATGTGGTTTACTAGAAACACAACCCGGGGCAGGGAAGACAGCATGGAGAGAGTGTAAGGACCTGAGTCTGGAGCGCAGAATCCACATAGAAAGCTGGGTGTAGTGTTGTGCGCTTATAATCCCAGCTTGGTAGTTGGGGTGAGGGGGGAGGCAGAAGGAGTTGAGACAGGTAGGTAGGATAGGTCCCTGTGTTTTCTGGCCAGCCGATCTAACCAAACAGCAACCTCATTAAGAGATCCTGTCTCACAAAATAAGGAGGATAAAACAATCGAGAAAAATGGTATTAGTATCAGTGTCAAACTCTGGCCTCCACATAACCAGGCACACGTGTGCACATGCGTACATGCACAAGCATATACAAATACAAGAAACAATCTTCCAGGATTCAAAGGCTATAAATGAAAAACATCTGTGCCAAATTTTTCACTGGAATTTTTGTCCTAAATTTTTTCCTGAGAAAATTCTAATGTGTATAAATATTTTCACCCTTACACAATAGTCTTTCAGTAAATAGCTATAAAAAGAAGAAAAAGGGTAACCAAAGCTGGGACTCCCGAGCTGCCCCAAGATGATGACCAGCTCTTCTGACAAGATGCTTTTGCTGCTGAACCAGATTGCTGCATAGTAGACCTCAAAGGGAGCAAGTCATTTCAAAACGACTTACAGAGGGCGCAGGGAAAGGAAAGCCACCTTGTGCTAGCTAGTTCTGTGTCAGCTTGACACAGGTAGAGTCATCTGAAAGGAGGGACCCTCAAGTGAGAAAATGCCTCCACGCAATCAGCATTTTCTTAATTAATGATTGATGTGGGGAGGTCCCAGGCTATTGTGGGTGGGGCCATCCCCGGCTGGTGGTCCTGGGTGCTATAAGAAAGCAGACTGAGCGAGCCACAGGGAGCAAGCCAGTAAGCAGCACCCCTCCAGGGCCTCTGCACCTGCTGTTTACTCCAAGTTCCTGTGCTAATTTCTTTCAATGACAAACAGTGACACAGAAGCATAAGCCCAATAAACCCTTTCCTCCCCAGGTTGTTTTGTTTGTGGTGTTTATCACAACATTGATGACCCTAATTAAGACACACCTCTTCCGTTGAGAGTGCAGGCTGTTGGTGATTGGTGGGTTGGTTGGTTGATTGGATTGTTTTTTTTTTATAATTTACTTATTTTTATTTTATGTTTATTGGTGTTTTGCCTGCATGTATATCTGTGTGAGCGTGTCAGATCCTGGAGTTACAGACAGTTGTGACTGACCATGTAGGTGCTGGAAATTGAACCTAGGTCCTCTGGGAGAACCATCAATGCTCACAACTACTGAGCCATCTCCCCAGCCCCTTGGTTTGTTTCCTTAATCACCAGTTTTGTGTACATTATAGTCTATTTCTAGCAATTCCATAACCAAAAACAGTGGCATCATTATGCTATATAAAAAGAATGAGAAAAGCAAAACAATGAATGTGTTCAGTCAAGTTATGGGTGTGGGGCCAAGGACTCATAAGGGAAGTATTCAGTGTCACAGAAGGGAACAGAAAGGAAAACAAGAGACCAGTTTATTTTCATATTTTGGTCAGTAAAAGAATAGATCTTTCTGGTCCTGTTGCCCTGATCCTGAAATCTGCCCAAGGTACACAGAATTCTAACTACCCAGCATCTTCCCCAGTCCTAGCAATCTCCCCTCCCAGCCACCCTGTCAAGGAAAGTCCCCTCCAGCTTTGATGGTTGGAATTCCTCTACATCCCCTGCAAAGGCTGTTTCCTTAAGGTGGTCTCAAATCTGTTATCTGAATCTTCTCCAGTTTCATATATTACTTGAGTTTTTAACCATTGACAAATTGGGCCTCTAAAGGAGGGACATGTGTTCTGTGTCTCACAGCCCCATCTCTTGCTTACAGGTCTGGCTGGCTTTGCTCGCCTCTGTCCTGGAGATCAATATGAAGTAAGTAACATGTTGGTCGACATGTTGGCATTGAGGGATTGAAGGACAGGGGTTGTCTATAGTTTTGCTTTTTGTTGTTGTTGCTGCTGCTGCCTCTACTATTTTGGTACCAGGAACTGAACCCAGGGTCTTGTGCTTGCTAAGCAAGTGCTCTACCATTGAACTGCATCTTTAATCAATGTTTTACTTTTTGAATAAATTGTGTGTGAGTGTGTGTGTGTGTGTGTGTGTGTGTCTGTCTGTCTGTCTGTCTGTGTCTGTCTGTCTGTCTATCTGTCTGGGTGTGGACAGGAGTACAGGTCCTGCAGAGACCAGAGCTTGAGTTGCAGGCAGTTGTGAGCTGCTGCATGGTGTGGGTGCTAGGAACTGAGCTCAGGTCCTCTGCAAAAGCAGCGTGTGCTCTTAATAGCCGAGCCATTTCTCCACTCCTACTTTTGGTTTTGAAACAGCATTTCGTAAGTTGCTCAGGCTAGCCTTGAACTTGCCATCCTCCTGCCTCAGCTAGGCTGTCAGGTACATACTACCAGGCCTGGGCCCAGTTATTATCGATTAATTTATCTTTAGCACTTTGAGCCAGTGAGGAAGTTTGGAGGGTATCTAAGAACTCCCACATACAGAACGTGACCACTCCGTTTACCCCGTTACCATGTGGATGCTACTTTGCTCATTGCAACCACGACCCCTCATTGCTAAGTTCTTCTCCCAACAATCCTTAACAACTACAAACTTAGCATTGCCTTTTCAGCAGATGCTATCTGAGAGTCTATGTTCATATTCTCCCAAGTGCCCCAAAATTTTACACTGTAGCGGTTTTTCTTCTTGATCCAAGATCTAATCTAGGATCATGATTGATTCAAAGTTTTAGGACTATAAAAGGGACACAGCTACCAGGCATGTCCAGCTCATGGCCTGTGAACTGCCTGCAGCCAAGAATAGAAACATGGGCCTGACACAAAATCATAAACATCAGGCATTAGGAGATAATTTGTGGGGGGGAAGGAATTTTTGATAACTCAGCTGCACAGTTCTTGAGTGTGAACTTTGTGTGTGGCAATATCATCTGACCGTGTCCAAAGGTTGGACATGACCAATACCTGACTATAGAGTTTTCTTTATAAAAGCATACTTATAAACAACACAGTAGCTCATACCTGAAGAGACTGTCAGTTTGAGATACCCTGAACCTTGCCAGGAGGTGATGGTGCATGCTTTTAATCTCAGCACTTAGGAGACAGAGGCAGGTGGATCTCTGTGAGTTCTAGGCCAGTCCAGTCTACAGAGAGAGTTCCGGAAGAGACAGGTGTACACTGAGAAACCGTATGTCAAAAAAAGAAAAGAGAGAGAGAAACAGAGAGAGAGAGAGGCTGAGACACATAATAAGACCACGCCAAACAAAGCAACCAAACCTTTGTGAAATAAAAAGGCCTTTTGTCTTCTCCTTCTTCAAAAGAGCATGTCCACAGCACTTTCGTCATCTCCTTGCAAAGGCTCTAAGGTCATTCACAACAGCTTCCCTTCTCTGCCAGAGAATGGAAGGTTTCAGCCTTTACCAATGTCACCTCCCTCATTCAGCGGAAGAAACCTTTATTTCTCCCTTCTGGATGCAAATAGAGTTGGAGATGGTTCTTGTCTCTCTAAAAGAGCTGGTGTCAGCAAGGAGCTCTGATGACTGAGATATTGTTGCAGGATAAACAAAGACAAGTTTCACGTGAGCGGGCAGACTAACACGGAGCTATGACCTCTTTTTGTATTATTTTATTTTTTGGTTTTTCAAAACAAAGTTTCTCGGTAGAGTCCTAGCTGTCCTGGAACTCACTCTGTAGGCCAGGCTGGCCTTGAACTCAGAGATCCGCCTGCCTCTGCCTCCCAAGCGCTGCTGATAAAGGCACGCACCACCAACGCCTGACCTCCTTAAATTCCTGTGTGGATTTATTTTTATTTTATGTGTATGCATGCTTGCCTGCATGTATGTCTGTATACCATGTGTGTGCCTGGTGCCCGCAGAGACCAGAGGAGGGTGTTGGATCCCCTGGAACTGAAATTAAGGTAGTTATAAGCCATAATGTGGGTGCTTGGAACCAAACCTCAGTCCTCTGCGAGAGAAGCGAGTGCCCTTAGCCACTGAGTCGATTCTCCAGCTGCTGCTATGCTCTCTTACTAAAGAAACTTCCAGGGCTGGAGAGATGGCTCAGTGGTTAAGGGCATCGCTTGCTCTTCCAAAGGTCCTGAGTTCAATTCCCGGCAACCACATGGTGGCTCACAGCCATCTGTAATGAGATCTGGTGCCCTCTTCTGACCTGAAGACATACACGCAGACAGAATATTGTATACATAATAAATAATAAATAAACGAATTTATTAAAAAAAAAAAAAAGAAAGAAAGAAACTTCCACACCCTCGGCTACAGAAGCAGAATGTACTGCTTGACTAGGCCAGATGTGCTGACAATATGTCTATAACAAGAGCCAGCCACTCAAAAATCAGACAGGGACTGGAGAGATGACTTAGCAGCTAAGAGCACAGTCAGGAGGTCCTGAGTTCAATTCCCAGCAACCACGTGGTGGCTCACAACCATCTGCAATGAGATCTGGTGCCCTTTTCTGGCCTGCAGGCATCCATGCAGGCAGAACACCGTATACATAATTAATAAATAAATCTTTAGAAAAAAATGTCAGACACAGGTAGAGTTCTGAGTTTGGAGGCCAGCCTGATCTACTTGGTGAGTTCCAGGCTAACCAGAGCAACATAGTGAGACCCTATTTCAAGTATATAAACAAATCAATTAAACCGCCTCCAAACCCTCATGGGCTCCACTGAGAACCCAGACTTGGGGGCGGGAAGAGGAATGAAGGGCAGGTGCCTATTTCCTGGCCCTTGGATCCTGGCCACTGGGAGAGGAAGTGGAGTTCGGTGGAACATGAGGCTGCCTAATGTCTTCACCCAGATTTTCATGAAGTATGGCCGGCAAAGGTGGAAGCTGAAGGGCAAAATAGAAGTGAACGGCAAACAGAGCTGGGACGGAGAAGAAACAGTCTTCCTGCCCCTCATAGTTGGGCTCATTTCCATCAAGGTACCGCGGGCGCGGCCTTTTGTTGTTGTTCCTGATAGCATGGCCTAACTATCCCTGGGTGGGGACCCTCCATCCCACACAAAGGCTTCTGTCTGTACAAAGCCTCAAGGACGGGAGACAAAGTATTTGTAACAAAGTAACATTTTACAGATACCTGTGTTTCAGAAATAAGGAATCCATTGACTGCGAAGAAAATGAAAACGGGCTATTCCTCCTTTTCCCCTCTCATCTTCTCTGCCAGGTCACAGAACTCAAAGGACTGGCAACTCACATCCTGGTAGGCAGTGTGACCTGCGAGACCAAAGAGCTGTTTGCAGCCCGACCCCAGGTGGTGGCTGTTGACATCAATGACCTTGGTACCATCAAGCTGAACCTGGAAATCACCTGGTAGTAAGTTCCTTTTTTTCATGTTCATCCTAGAAAAGCAGGTGCGGACAGCTAAAGCTGTTCAGGGCTGCTGTGTAAACCGAGGTGTCAGCCACACCCAAACTGCTACACCTTCTAGGTTGTTTTTTTTTTTTTTTTCTGACAACCTAATCTGATCCATCCAAACCAACCCTGTTCCCACTGGTCTGAGTTGAGAAGCCGTCTTCCACCATCCCTAGACGATAGGTGATTTTAACAGATATGCTGACCTGAGAACTTATTGTTTTACAGTCCCTTTGATGTGGAGGACACAACCCCGTCATCAGGCCCTGGGAACAAGACCATTGCTCTCCAGCGAAGGATGTCCATGTATAGCCAGGGCACCCCAGAAACACCTACCTTCAAAGATCACTCCTTCTTTGTAAGTTCAGTGTGATTTCTGGCATAGAACGGATAAGGTTGGGGAGTTCTGGTAGAGTGTGAAATGTGTAACACTCACAGCAGAGACTTTCAAGAATAGGAGAGATGCCTTAGCAGTTAAAGTGCTTGCTATCCAAGCGTCAGGGGAGTTTGGATCACCAAATCCTACAGAGATGCTGGGTGGGTGTGATGGCCGAGCTATAATTCCAGCCTGGAAGAGCTGCAGTGGGAATGTCCAGAGCAGGCTGGTTTGTGAGACTAGCCCTATCATAGAGCTGGGTTGATTAAGAGAGCCTGCCTTGGGGAATAAGGTGAGATGTAATCAAGAAAGATTCCTGACAGCAACCTTGGAACTCCTCACCTGTGCATGTAAACATGCGCATACATCAGTACACGCATGCACGCCATACACATACATAAACACATGGAAAGAGGGAAAGTAATTCCTAGAGGTCATGCTAATTGCGTGGTGACTACGGAACCCACGTTCTGAGACACACCGGCCCCGAGTCCAGGGCTGACTTCCTCTGCCTGTCTCTCCCTCACTCTACTTCCCCTTCGGCTGGGAAATGGCATGTAGGTTTTTCCAAGCATTCTTTGACATGAATCTTTCCGAGTGTATACGAATGACACCTGCCTGATGTCACCAGGCCCTGCTAACTACCAAGGGAAACCCAGTAACCTGCTTCTTTCCACTAACTTCCCCATCTCGCCCTGACTTCTGAAGAGATGGTTGCGGCTGTCTGTCTTGAGTGCCTTGCGAGACACTTTCTTTGCCACGCTGCACCACAACCACTCTGTCGGTGACCTGCCTTCCCTCAGCCTGAACCCCAAGGCCCTGCTAGAATTCTATGTGAGTGCGGGCTGCCCGGAGTGGTGTGCTTGACTTCAGGGAGCCTATGCATGCAGCCCAGCATGACTCTTGGGTCTTATCTGTCTTGCTTGCTGGGTGATAACTGTCCTGTCCTTGGGGTGGGAAGCATGGTCATGCATGCAACTCTGTCGCCTTTCTTTTCCAACAATTCCTGGTTTTATGCTGTGATTTTTCTATATGGTAACAAGATTCTCGCATTTAAAAGCAAACAATAGTACTGGGGCTGGCGGTGTAGCTCCGTTCGTCGAGTGCTTGAGTCCGGGATTCTAAACTCAACACCACATGACTAGGTGTGATGGTACACCTCTAATCCCAGCACTCAGACAGTAGAGGCAGGGAGGTTAGGAATTGAGCACCAGACACTGAGTTCCTATCAAGGCGGGAAAAATTGTTATTTCCAAAGGTAACTGGTTTACCACTGGCATCAGACTTCCAAAAGCCGGCACTCAAGGACTCGAAAGGGTTTAAGCCAACGTCATCATAGCTGCTTCTGTGTAGCTGTCTGTCGTCAGTTGGTGCAGTCTTTGTTCATTCCACCCTGCTCTAGTAAAGGAAATCCTGAAAGTCACAGAAACATGATAGATAACCTACTTTTATGAATTACATATTGTTTTTAAGAGACTGCATGGACAGGTATACATACATATGAGGAATATTTTGTTCTTTGTCTGAAGAATCAATGTCACGTTTAATTATCCTGGGAGGAGATTAAAGGACTTCTGGCTAATAAGAATAACAACAGCTACATCTAGTTCATGGAACTAAAGATGAAGGTGAAAAGGACAACATACACGCTCGTGGAGTTTCAGAGGAGACTAGGAAGGACCATTTGGGAAATGTGTCAAAGTAATACCAAAAGTCAATAGACTGATGCACTTGGACACATAACTACAGATATGATAGATATTCGTGCCCATGTGATATACCTGGGAGGGCTACTGGAATGTTGAAGTTACCCAGCACTTGTGACAAACACCTGACAAGCAGCAACTTAAGGCAGGAAGGGTTTGTCTGGACCCACAGTGTAAGGGGTATATGGTGATGAAGGCATGGCAGCAGGCACATGATGTCGCTGATCACACTGTGTTAGCAGTCAGGACACAGACAAACACTGGTGCTCACCTCATTCTCTCCTTTTATTCTAGCTGAGATTCTGTCCCATGGAATGTTGCCACCCACATTCAGGGTGGGTCGTCCCCACCTCAATTAAACCTTTCTGGGAACATTCTCATAGGGATACCCAAAAGTATGTTTCAACAGTTGATTCTAGTTTACTCCAGTTGACAGTGATGATCAGCCATCGTGTGAGAGTTGGTAGAAGCTGAACAGCATAGTTTAAGCAAGATTAGAAAACACTGGGTCACTTCCTAAAGCATTTGGGGAAATACAAAGGTCCTTGGGGGCAACCGTTTACACCTCTTCACAGCCCACTACACCATCTAACGCATTTCTCCCTCTCCACTCTGCCCCTTCTGCACGCTCCACAGCTCTTCAAATGTCCCACACTCTTTCCAGAACTCCTATGTCTCTTCCTCCTGTTCTCTGCCTCACCCGTCTATGGCTGGGTTCTAGAACCATCTTTTCCCTCGCTAGGACCTTGATCTCATAACATCCTTCCCAATGCGTCTTTTGTCAACCAAGGTAAAATCAGTCTAGTCAAGAGGAATTCTGTGTCTCTGTCTATGAGGACTATGCTACCGGGAGCCCACTGAGCAAGGTGTTAGGAGACGGTAGCCGCTGGTAGTTCCAGCTTCAAGGAGGGCTACATCTTCTGCACCTCGAGAATCGTGATCGGTGCTATGAAAGCCAAAAGCCAAGCTGTTTCGAGGGAGTGAGCAGTCTTGGGAAGCGTGGGGAATAGTTTTGCAGTTACATAGCCTAGTGAATTTCCTTCAGCACAGTGTGGGTAGTTTGTAAGGTCGTGAAGTCAGTGGGAGATCTGGAGAGTTTGGCTGCACACAAATCCTTCTGCCACTTTGAGAGCCCCGAGGCCATAGTATTCCACTTTGGTTTCCTTCCTGCGGGATGCCTGTTGGAAGGTGTGTGTGAGCAGGGCATCTGAACATAGTACAGCTTAGTATTTGCCATTCAATAAGTGCAGATTGCCCTTGGCTACTGAGCGCTATGCTAGAGCCAGCAGCTTCCTCCCCCACCCTGCTGCAGCTAAGTGTGTGCACAGAAGTCCAGGCGAGGCTGCACAGGCCCTCCTGAAGAACAAACACTGGCATTCATAAAGAGCCTAGCGGGTTTTCAGAGAAGGCCCAGCACTCAGGACTTTGATCCTTCGCCCATATGTTCCACAAACCTTCCCTTTTCCCTTCACTAGAGATGTAAGGACATAACAGACCTTGAAAGTAGAGAGAGGAACTCGCATTTGAGAGGTGGAAGAAGTGTCCAGGAGCTGCTGCATCTATGGGCTCAGAGGAGGACGGCCGCTGTCCTGCTTTCATTAGTTCACTCATTGCCCTTGCTCGCTGGGATCATTCCCAGCATGACTGTGCAAATTCTTGACTTTACATTCAATTAAAACAGACATTAGGTTAACATTGACTACATATAGCTGTCCTTGAGTATCTATAGGGAATTGATACTAGGACCCCATAAGCCACCCAAATCCACAGAGGCTCAAGCCCCTTACATCAAATGAGTGATCACACAGACCCTCCGTCCACCCCCTCGTACTTCAGATCACCTCCTTATGAGTTAACGTATGACTCCAAGTCAGTGTAACTGATGGGGAAAGAGCTATCCCACTGTAATGAGTGATGGCAAGAAAAGGTCTGTACATGTTCCAAACATTTCCCATTTGCAGTTGCTTGACTCTGCAGGTTTAGAATCGATGGATACAGAGAGGAATCGCTGCTCTTTAAAAGCCCAATCTGAAGGGCCAATGAGGTGCTCCATGGGTGAACGTGTTTCGCCGTACAGGCCTGACAACCTTAGATCAGTCACTGGGGAAGTAATGAGAGAACTAACTCCACAAAGTTGTCCTTTTGCCTCCACATGTGTGCCCTCTCTCTCTCTCTCTCTGTCTCTGTCTCTGTCTCTCTCTCTCTCTCTCTTTGTCTCTCTCTCTCTCTCATACACACACACACACACACACACACACACACACACACACACACACGCCAATAATGAATTAAACAATTTTTCTTTCTAATCTGGGAGCTAGAGAGATGACGCGGTGGATAAAGCAGTTGGCCGCAAAAGCATGAGGACCTAGGTTTGGCTATGCAGAGCTCACAGAAGCTGGGTGTGGTGGTGCAAACGCCTGCAGTCCCAGAGCCCCTGTAGTGAGACGGGAAGTGGAAGCAGAGCTGAGAGACACTCACAGGCCCGACGCCATGCTACACTCAGTGGTGAACTGGAGAGCCGGTCTCAGACAAAGCAGGAGATGAGAACCAACACCCAATGTTGTCCTCTGACCTCCACAAACACGCTCATGCTCACACACACACACACACACACACACACACACACACACGTGCACACACACACATACACACACACAATACAGTAAAATAAAATTTAAAAATCCAGCCCGTAATATAAGAAAAGAAACCAGTTTCTAAGAGGCTAATCTCAAATACCTAGCAAGCCTTTTCTATAGACAACCACACCCATGAACATAGCCCAACACAAAATTATAAACTTAGTTAAGAAGCCATTAAATTTTTCTCTTTTGTGATTTTTAACACTAAACTGTGGCAGGCCTGGTATGAATTTTGTAAATCTTTTAAAAGACAATATCGTGTCACGGCGTCAAAAGTTTGGGCACACCAGCCCCAGGGAAGACAATGCAGGGATGCTGACTTTGAACTTGCTCTGCTGACAGAAGCCAGTTGTTTTGATATCTGAAAATCTCTTCCTATGTGAGGATCAAGCCCAGGGACTCACACATGCTTGGCAGACCTTCTTCCCAGTTGGCTGGTGACCTCTGACCTCTCTTCAGAGCTTCCTGGAGCCAGAGGGAACCTGAAGCAGGGCATGCTTGACGAAGAACTGCGTTTCCAAGACTCCACAAGCCCCAGGGTTTGCCTTCTGAGAGATAGATGCACCACCCATTAGTCTTTTTTGTTTCTACAGAAGCTAAACAAATGCATTTCAAAAGTTTGGAATGTGTCAGTAGATAGTTTCAAAAGATGATTGTTGAGAACTGAAGCAGACAAATATCTCATCATTGTAGTAAAAGAACATGGGAGTGTCAAATCTCTTAAGATACTCTCTCTCTCTCTCTCTCTCTCACACACACACACACACACACACACACACACATACACACACACACTGTACACACATAAAATGTAATAAATAGAAAGATGGGTAATGCTCTTCATAGTGATGACTGTCGAGTACTGTGAGATCCTGGGATTTATAAAAACAAGCAACATCCCCACTCACCCTCAAAGTACATTTGAAAAATGTCAAACCCAAGAATAGCACCATGAACTTTCACCTATATCCAACAATGGAAACAGTTTTTAATGACTTGTTTTGTTTCTTTTCTTTTGCCTGCATACACACACACATCAAATAAATTGCTAATGTTACCGAGTTTCCTTCTTAATTGCCTCCTCTCTTGTCTGGGGATGAATCGTGCCAAATGCATCATGCTGTATTCTTCTCCACAGTCAAATCTGCCAGATGACATCTTTGAAAATGGAAAGGCAGCAGAGGAGAAAAGGCCACTGTCCCTCAGTTTTAGTGACCTGCAGGACGGAGACTGTGTCTTCACCTCCAGCTCGGCCACCTCACCCTCCAGTTCACACTCAGCCCATCCAGAGATTACCATCACCCCTGCCGAGCTCACCCATGGCAGCCTGTCCTCACAGACTGAGGGCACGGAGGACAGCAGCTCCTCATCTTCCAGGAATTCCCTGGGTGAGGACCATGAGCCAAAGACCCCTGCAAAAAGGGAGGTGGTAGAGCCCCGGAAGCCCGGTGTGGCCGCAGGGTCGGGCGCAAAGAGCCTGTCCCTGGAAAGTAGCGTTGCCGAGGCTCTCCTGCAGGAATCAGATGAGACCTCTGAGCTCAAGCCTGTGGAGCTGGACACGTTTGAAGGAAACATCACCAAGCAACTAGTGAAGAGGCTCACCTCAGCCGAGGGGCCCGTAGCCACGGAGAAGCTTTTCTTTGAAGGCTCTGTTGGTAGCGAGTCTGAGGCTGGCCGCTCCTTTCTTGATGGTAGCCTGGAAGATGCCTTCAATGGACTCTTCCTTGCACTAGACCCACACAAGGAGCAGTACAAAGAGTTCCAGGATCTGAACCAGGAAGTCATACACTTGGATGATGTCCTCAAAGTAAGTACCTTTCTGGAAAATCTGATTCGGTTTGGGAAAAGTCATTCTAAACCAATGTTGTATTTAAGATAGCCAATCTTATCCTGTCCCAGGACATAAGTGAAGGCGATTTGTTTAATTCCACTCACGCCTATCCATTTTTATCTTCCTGACACCAAATAATCTTAGCTAAAATGATTAGGAATTGGTTTAAGAACTCTAAAGAAGGTCTAAGAATGGCTAAGGCCAAAGGATCTGGGCCAACAGGTCATTCTTTAGAGTCAGGTTCCTGAGAGGACAGACCTGGAAATGAGAGGATGAAGAAGACAGGAAAAGTTGGGGTCAGGCAGTCTTGTATCAAGCAAGTTTATTGAGTACAGAGTTTTATATATAATTTTCAGTGAAAAAAAATGGGGCAAGAGTCAGCAGAAAACGGCAATACAATGAGACGAAGTCAACAGGAAGCTATTCGAGCAATGTTGCCCACAGGATAGCTCAAGTCTGTCACAGACTGATCACACACAGCCTTGGGACTGATAACCATAGCCCTTTAGCAGGGAAGTGTTGGGTTCTCAGGACCTGAAGTCACAGGTCCCCCAAGGCCCAAGCCCCAGGCCATCGTTGCCTTAGCAGGCACATTTGTCATCTTAGACAGGGAACTATAGTTTTTCTCCATACATCAGGGCCTCAGAGAAAGTCTTGGTTCGGCCTGTCCCCCAACAGCAAATAGTTTGCCATGAAAACGGGGGGACCCGAGTTCCATCCCCAAAACCCACATGGAAACAGCTGAGCTGGGCTTGAAATCCCAGCGATCCCAGAAGCAGGTGGACCCCTGCAGTTTGTCTGTCTAGACTACTCAGTGAGCTCCCTGACAGACAGAGACCCTGACTCAAAACAAGATGGCACCTCAAAAACAACCCTAGAGGCTGACCTCTGGCCTACATATGCACACCCTCATGCGCGTGTGTTCATGTCCTCCACCGCCCCCACAGGCGTACCAAGTCTAGATATGAAATACTGGTGTTTGCTCACAAAGATGCCACCAGTTAGGGTCCTTCTAGGGGTACCAGGGATGCTGGGGAAGTTAGCCCCACACTGTGGAGCCATCCCCTCTTCTCACAGCGCCCCTTGCAGAGGGTAGTCCCTCCTGAACTTGACCCAGATCAGCCAGCTGAGATCTCGAAGGTATCAGTAACACTAACACCTTTGCTCATAAACTAGGAGCTGGGGAACCACAAATTCCAGCAGACACTTACATCCATCCCTGACGCTGAAGCAGGGACAAGGTGTGAAGGCAGGAGGGAGGGGGTGATAGCCCCTCAAACAGAATATCAAGCGTCACAGCTACGTCAGAATGCGTCTGTGCCTGACACGCAGCTGGACATTCTTTCTAAACGCAGCATAGGAAGACAAGTGTATATGGTCAGTTGTTGAACCTCTGTTTCCCCGCTCCGATTGTGTGGTCACATAGGATTCCTCAAATTTAAAAAAAAAAAAAAAGCTTGAAATTTGCTGCAGCAAACTGAAAGCCAGCCCATAGGAGGTCCCCTTGTTCCTCTGTACCATACTTTCATATGGCCTTTGCAGTATCAGGAGCTACAGTCTTAGAACTTCGCAACCGTCTTCTTTCTCTCCATTTGCTCTTACTGAGCTAGCTGCAGACAAGATTTGTGCCTGGGGCAAATGAGAATAAGAATTTAGGCCTCCTGGGACACTCCAGGTCTTCCAGTGTCACTGTAGTTCCAGTATAGAAAGACCCTCTGAGAAGCAGGGACGGCCCGTAGAATCTGCTCTCCCTAGGACACGTCTCAAAAACATGCACTCAGAGCTCAAGCGTGGACACCTGGATGGTGCTCCGCCTTGTGTCTCATCTGCGTGATCAGCCAGCTTTGCCTTGTAAACAAGGGGTACCTATTTCAAAGAGCAGAGGTGCACACTGACCCCACTAAAGAAGGTGCCTTGAAGCAAGACAGTGGTGGGGTTTCATCTTCAGCGAGAAGGGTAAGAGATGGCCCCAGCCTAAGGCACCGATTAGACTCAGCTCATCAGGATACAGTGGGCTCACTTGCTGTCCATCTTATAAAACCTTGGTGATCTCAGAGTCCTTTCTTTCTGACTGAGCCTGCTCTTGTCCGGTACTGTCCCGGTATTGTCTAGTGAAACCCTTATCCACCTGTCTTTTTGATGTGACCGATGAAGCCAACATCTTGTACCTAGGTGGTTGGCTTAGGAAAGAAGACTCGAAAGACAGGCCAAGTTCACAACAGTTCCCCCTTTCTCCCTGAGATCAGCAGCATCATTGGGACCTTAGGTTTGGGGTGAGTGGCTTCCGCAGGACAAAGCTCTCTCTTTTTCTTCCTCCTTCACATTCTTAGGATGCTAAACATCTTGAGGATCAGAGACTCAATGATTCTGCTTCCCGGACGGAGATCACTGAGGGTGAATGAGACAACCGTGATTTAAAAGACTGAAAGACATGTCCCGAGTGCTTCTGGGCCATCCCAAGTGTCTGGGACAGATTCCCGCAAGGCCCTCCCTCCCTTGTGCTAAGAATCAGCAAGGGGATCTTCCTAGCCGGACAGAGGACATTTAGTGCGCCTTCCTTGCAGGACTTGTCCTGTTTAACCCACCTCAAGTCCTCTTGAATATGTGGATCTGCTTCTTTTTTGTCTCCAGGCCGTAGCTACTGGCACTGCCCACCAGTCATGCTTCAGTTTATGTCCTGCAACCTGCTCTTGAAGGAACTTGTTCCCCCAATCCCAGAGCCTGGCCAGAGGGGTGTCGGTACATGTTCCTCTCAAAGCAGAGGTCTAGGGAAATCAGGGTTATTTTCCCATCATGCTCAAGTTACTCATTTGTTCCTCTTTGTGCCTAGTGCTCATGAAAATAATAAAATAAAATAAAAGCTTCTTTGAATAGAGCATGGCGATGCAGGGCTTCCCCTCTAGTCAGCCTTGGGCAAGTGAATCAATGCAAGGCTTACTTCCTAGTCAGCCAGGAGCAGATGGATTCCTTTTCTGAATTCTTTTTGTCATTGATGTAAAGCATACTTTAGACAGAGAGCTCCAGGCACGGCACCCTGCAGACACTCTCTAGGCAGAAGAGGCTGGTTCTGGTTAACAGTCAGCAATGACTCAGTGGCTTTTAAATTTTGTCTGCTGGGTTGATTTAAAAAAAAAAAAAAAAATTTTTTTTTTTTTTTAAATAGTCTCACTGTATTTAGTCTAGTCTGGAAGGCATGAACTCAAATGGTGCTCTCAGTCAGCCTCCTGAGTGCCTGGGGTCTCAGGCGAATGCGATGGTGCTGCCTTGCTCGTTCTGTGTTATTTGGTCATGAGCACTGTGCCAAAGGAACGCATCACTTCTCTTTCCCAAGACTTCCGGGTTATCATTTTTTTAAGTTATTATTATAGTAATGCAACTTCAAACAGAGGTAGATCTGCCAATCACCCAGTGCCCCCTCCAGTGGCCCCCAATCGGCCCCCAGTGACCGATTTACCTCCAGTCCTCTTTTTCCTATTCTTCCCGTGTACTCTGGGTTATTTTAGACCAAATCACAACTCTTGTGCCATTTTTCTCTGCGGTTGTATTTCTGTTTCTCAAGATGAAGACTTGAAATGCCAGCCAAAAATAAAAGCTTGGAAACCTGTAAGAGAGTGTCATGTTTCCCCCTGGGTGCCCTGAGTCCTGCTGGTCCCCCTGGTGTGTTGATGGTGTCCTTGGTACCTTGTGCCTTTGCAGTGCAAGCCAGCAGGCAGCCGCAGCAGATCCTCCAGCTTAAGTCTGACAGTTGAGAGTGCGTTAGAAAGCTTTGATTTCCTCAACACCTCTGACTTTGAAGAGGACGAGGACAGGGATGAGGCCTGCCACATCGGAGGAGGAGCAGACTCTGTGTTTTCAGACACTGAGACCGAGAAGCCTGGGTGAGTGTGGAGACAGCCAGTACTTACATCTCTCCCATCACAACTGACACAGTCCCCCTCCATGACCGTGAGAGGCAACCCGGTACACGGCTCCAGGATGGCACAGTCCTCGCCGTCATGTTCGGCCTTACAGGCTGCAGGCAGGCACACGAGGCCTAGGACAGCCCTGAGTGCAGTCCAACACAAAACCATAAACTTACGTAGAACATCATGGCATTATTTTGTGACCTTAGTTGGTGTCTAGATTGCATGGTTCTTGAGCATGGACTTTCATAGATGATGGTATTGTATCAGAATGTCAAAAGGTCGGGCACACCTGCATTCCTTTTGATCAAGTGCAGCTTCTAAATTCTACTGGCAGTTGGAGGCTACATAGGGAGCACAGCCCCTTTTACTTCTTCGCAGAGGAAGCGTCTGTGTGACATGTGTGATGTGTGGTGAGGGTCTACACATGCACGCATAGAACGACCACATACAGGACCTTCTGACTTAGCCAAGCCGGTAACACCAGGCCTGGACCCACCATCCCTGCTATGCCGCAGACTCCCAATGCCTTGGTTCGCTGAGCTGTTTTCTCAGCATCCTCTGTCTTTCCTGTCAGCTCATCTCTGCATGAGGTTGACATCACTGGTGTGCTTCCCAAAGCCAGGGTTCCATCCCCCTATCATGGAAAGATGGATGCTTGACACTCCATTAGATCTATGTCCCCCCCCCCCAGGTAGAAAATGTGTCACCTTCTCCCTTGGGTGTCCTCCTAAAGTCAAGCCAATGTTCTTAGAACCAGATCCCGGGCCCACTTTGTGATTTCATATTAAGCAAAAAAACTTAATGGCCAGTATCACCTGCTAAGAAAAAATCCACCAACATGTAACAGAGGAAGGGATGGTATCCTCTATTATTTTTGGTTTCTGTTGTTGCCAAGAGGTTTTCTCCAAAATAAGATAATATATATATAGTTTTTGTTCATATGTATATATATATATACATATATATATATACACACACACACACACACACACATATGAGCAAACTAGAAATAAAAGGAAATTACATGTAGAAAATGTGATATTTAATTTATGGTTCTTCATGCTGCCTTGAAATTTCTTTGGCTTGATTGAATTTGCAAAATATCCCTTCACTTAAACTTTTCTATACACCTGTTAGCTTTTGCTGGTGTATATAAATGTCAGGTACAGCTCTAAACTGCAGCATTTTAAACAAATATATCACCTCTTTCATACATTCTACAGAACATTGATTTTAAATCTATCTAATCAAATTGGTCTTGCTGTATGTTATTAGAAGCAATAGGAAGAGGTATATGTGTGTGTGTGTGTGTGTAGAAGAATGTGCACACCTATTAGAGTATATGCCCGTATGTATGAGAGTGTATATGAATGTGTATATCTGGACTGTGTGAGCCTGTGTAGTGTGTGAGTGAGTGTGCACTGAGAGTGTATGCGTGTGTATGTGCACAAGTGTATATGTGAGTTGTATACATGTTTTGGGTTTTTGTTTTGTTTTGTTATGGGGTTTTTTGGGGGGAGGGAAGAATGAGACAGGGTTTCTCTGTGTAGTCCTTGACTATCCTAGAACTCACTCTGAGGACCAGGCTAGCTTGGAACTCACAAAGATCTTCCTGTCTCAGCCTCCTGAGTGCTGGGATTAAAGGCGTGTGCCACCATCGTCCAGCTGTGTGCTTATGTTTTAAATATGCCTTGCCTGCCAGGGTGCAAACTGAGCATGGTTCTTATGTGGAAATGCGAACAAAGGCAAGCACTCAAAGCTCCTAAGCTTTCTGTGGGTTCTGTCACCGCTGTGGACACCGCAGAATGGGAGGTGGAAGAGCAAAACTCTGCCCCTGTATACCTGTACGTGTACCTGTACAACCGAGGTACTCTACCGGCATCCTTGCTACTCGGGCCTTCCATGTGTGAAATGATACAATCATCCCCTCCTCCTGAGCATATAAAAAATAAAAATGAGAGGAGGCAGGGAAAAAGAATGAACGACAGGGAAAGCGAGGTACAGTGATGCTGAGATTTGGAGATGCCAAGGTGAACCCATTATTTTATATGCTAATCTAAAGAAATTAAATTTTTTTAAAAAAAGCAGAAAAATATCTCAGGACATAGACATAGATCAAAATATATAAATAATTTAATGTTAAATTTTGACACAATTATGAAAAGGATAGTTAGCTATTTTAAAGATTCTGGGTGTTCCCGGGGCTCACATGATGCATACCAAAACTTCAGCAGACACCAGCCAGATATCTCAGTGGGTGAAGTTCCTGACGCACAAGCCGGGTAACCTGAGTTGGATCCCAGCACGCAAATGTGGATGGACAGATCCAGCTGGACAAGTTGTCCTCTGACCTCTAAGTACACGTCACAGCACACGTGTCCCCTCTCATAAACACAAAATGACAATAAGTAATGGTTTTTTGCTTCCACAGAATTAGTTGCTAGGAGAGACATACTAAATGATTCTAAAGTATAAAACTAAGTTCCTTTCCCCAAAAATTTTGTTTTTCCTGTCTTTTTTAAATAGGGAATATTCCACCCTTTTGAATATTAGAACATACTGTAAATTACAATGTCTATAGTACCATCATTATATTTTTAAAGTAAACACTAAATACATTGAAAAGACAGATACATGGTGGTCGTTTCACCCTTCAGTCATGGCAGCTGTTTCAGCAGCATTCACGGAAGTCACTTTCCAGACCAGAAAAGTCTGTCCTATGTCCCCATTATAACTCACCTCCATCACATGCAGTCAGTTCTTCCTTGTCCCCTAATATTTAACCTTTCTTTTTCTCTCTTCTGCATGTTATACTATACCGACATGTGTATTTGTTTACAGATATGCCTGTATTATTGACTAGGTCCTGCATATGAGGAAGAAGATGTGGTTTATTTTCTTTCTGAGATTGTGTGACCTCATTTAGTATTGTACATTCTAAATTCATCCATTTTACTGAAAGTTTTGTGATTATATTTTTCTTTAAATCTGAATACTATATGTACCCAGCTTTATACATATATCATATATATGTCCATCAAATTTTTATTACCCATTCATCTATTGATGAACAACTAGTTTGGTTCCAATTCTTTGATATAGCAAATGAAGCAGCAGGTGTTTCTTGTTCTAACTCTCTTATAGATTTTTCAGACTGGGTGAGGGATAAGGCATAAAAATATGTTCAATAGCAAAGCTATATTCAATAGTGTAAGTGTAACAGTCCACAGCTTCACAGTTCTATTCTAACTGTATAGAAGCTCATTGAGATGCATAGACTTGGTTCTGGTTAATTTTGTGTAATTTTGTGTAATGGTTTTGATTTACAAGAATTCTTATAATAAAGTTTATGTTCTTAAAAAATTCATTTTTAAAAAGAAAATTCTATACACTCAGATTATAAAATAATCTGGATAAATATAAGACTTATTTGTAAACTTAAAAACCATAAAATATGACCAAACATAATAGTGCACACCTTTAATCCCAGCACTTTAATCCCACTCAGGGTTTAATCCCACTCCGGCAGAGGCAGGTAAATTTCTGTGAGTTTGAGACCAGCCTGGTTTACAGAATGAGATTCAGGACAGCCAGGGCTACATAATGAAACCTTGTCTCGACAAACCAAAAGTAAATAAGTAAACATAAAACTCATAAACTAAAACAAAAGCATATGTCCACTGAGAAAAGAATAAACAGCCCCAGTGAAATCCACCTGTAATTCCAGCATTTAGGGAGTGGAGACAGGAAAGCAGGAATGCAAGGCCAGCCTCAGGTACACGACAATTCTCACATGGCTATGTTAGACCAAAAAGAGAAGGGGAGGAAGAAAATCAGATAACACACAAATCAGCCTGTTTAGTGTGTGCCCATGATGATATAACCTCACAGTGTGATGGTGGGGTCTAAAGAGAGTAGGAGAAACAGGACTGGGTTGAGAACTACATAGCCACACTCTCCTGCTGAACAGCATCTGACTGTTCACAGCCCCACATCTGCCCTTGGCAGTTTTTCCTTCCTCTTCTCTTCAAGTAGCACTTGGCATGAGGCCAGGTCAAGGCCTGCGCAATCGCTCTTTAATGGATTCACTCATAGGAAACCACAAACACAGGACTGTTGAATTCCAGAGAAGCTGGCCGATCCCCCGAACACAGAGCGGGCTAGTGAAGCCAGTGCAGAGCGAGGGCCCGGTTCAAAGACTTCCCGGAGAACCGGCTTCACAAAGCGCTCATTGTGCTTGGACCGCAAACAGCGGCGGCCCATGTTTGCACGGTCTTTTGATACCTGGCAAATTGGCAGCGTTGCTGAAATAAGTTGCTCTGGGAAGGGATCTCTGCTTTTAAAAGCAAACCGGGGTCCCCACGCAAACTTGGCCTGTGGTTTGTGCACAGAAAGAACGAGCTCGTGTTTCACCCACGTTCCTGCCTCACAGTTACAGGTCAGTGCACTCGGAAGCCAGAGGCCACCTTAGCGAAGCTCTGACTGAAGACACAGGCGTGGGGACCAGTGTGGCAGGAAGCCCGCTCCCACTGACCACAGGAAACGAGAGCCTGGACATCACCATTGTCAAACATTTACAGTACTGCACCCAGCTCGTCCAGGTAGGGTGCATGGTGTGTGGGAGGTGGGATGCTGACGTGCCAGGGAGGTATACATGTTATGTGTTTTAGTTTTGCCAAGGAAATGGGAGTTCAGAGGTAAGAGAATGGAGCAACCTGGGCAGGTCTCCACGCGACAAAGGAGCAGAGTCACCAAACAAATCATTTAGGTCCTTCCTTCTTTTCCTTGTTCCCTGCACACACGTGAAACCATTGCCTGCTTATGTGGTCTGAGGCCTGGTATATAGCCTTGGATTGCCTCAGTCACTCAGGATTTCCTGTCACAAAATGGAGATGTCACTAGGGGTCTCCTCCTGAGGCCATTGTGAGAAACTGTGTGCAATAATACATGGGCAGAGCTCAGAGTGGCACCAGGACACAGACAATGCTCTTGGGCTACGCTGGGATAGCTCTGACTACAAGAATGACTACAGGGCTGGAGAGATGGCTCAGAGGTTAAGAGCATTGCCTAATCTTCCAAAGGTCCTGAGTTCAATTCCCAGCAACCACATGGTGGTTCACAACCATCTATAATGAGGTCTGGTGCCCTCTTCTGGCCAGCAGGTATGCACACAGACAGAATATTGTATACATAATAGATAGATAGATAGATAGATAGATAGATAGATAGATAGATAGATAGATAAATATTTAAAATAAAATATGTATAATTGAGTCTTTAAAAAAATAATGACTATAAAATATGCTCTTCATTTTCAGTTTGGAAACAGGGAAATAGAACTATGCCGTGAATCCAAGCATTTTTTTTTTGATCAGAAAGTAATTTTAGGGCTGGAGAGATGGCTCAGAGGTTAAGAGCATTGCCTGCTCTTCCAAAGGTCCTGAGTTCAATTCCCAGCAACCACATGGTGGCTCACAACCATCTGTAATGGGGTCTGGTGCCCTCTTCTGCCCTGCAGGCATGCACAGAGATGGAATATTGTATACATAATGAATAAATGAATATTTAAAAAAATAAAGAAAGAAAGAAAGTAATTTTATTAAATTATAAAAGTTTCCATTTCCGCCCCTCCTCCCAACACCCTCCCACTCCCCCCACTCCCTCTCCTCCTCCCTCTCCATCCCTAAGAGCAGTCAGGGTTTCCTGCCCTGTGGGAGGTTCAAGTTCCTCCCCCCTCCCTCCAGGTCCAGGAAGGTGAGTATCCAAACAGACTGGATCCCCAAAATCCAGTATATGCAGAGGAAACAAGTCCCAGTGTCATTGTCAATGGCTTTTCAGAAAGAACCCAAGCATTTTTAAATCAAATCTTTTCTTGTTTATCCACCTAACCTTCTGCTATTTTATAGGAAACTGAAATTTACATAGAAGGAAGGGTAGAGCTGAGCGTGGAGTTTCTACCAATAATCCCGGAACTTGGGGGAGCTAAAACACTTATATATTATTATGTTATAATTTTGATTATAAATTTGAGGACAGCCCGAGCTAATAATTCAGGCCAGTCTGAACCACTTGGTAGACCATATCTTAACGATAACCTGGAGCTCTTCCACTGAGAGAATTCCAGAACATAGACATATGTGAAAAAGGTTAAAAATAACAAACACATATATGATTTCATGAACATTGTCAGGCTGGGACAAAAGTGTTGCACAGGTCAGCCTGGCAACCCCATTGGGAAGGGCGCAAACGGTAAGGTCCCTGCCCTCGACATCATTGAAAGAACTTTTTTTTTTGTCTGGTCAGCAAATCGTCTTCTCCAGTAAAACCCCCTTTGTGGCAAGAAGTCTCCTGGAGAAGCTATCGAGGCAGGTCCTCGTGATGGAGAAGCTGGCAGCAGTGAGCGACGAAAACCTAGGGAACATCACCTCTGTGGTGGAAGGTAAGCGCGCCACCAGCAGGCCGACCCTGGAACCAGAGCACGCCGACCTGCACCGGAGGCACATAGCTATTTCTGTCTACAGCAGACAAAACACGCACACAGAGATGACACCCAGCTCCATGTAGAGCTTCTGACGTTTTCTGTTGCCAAGACTGCCCTTAGAACAGGTGATCTGGATTGTTCCAACTAGTGGAGTCGGTAAATCTGACCCCCATAGTGGATGCTGTTGTACACAGGAGGTGCTTCCAAACCCTGCTGTGGAAGAGAAACTGCGTGGACTCAACCTGTGCTATAGAGTGAGGTCAAGGGTAGCCTGAGCAAGACTTATTTCAATATCAATAGTAAGATGATGACTGGAGATATAAACCAGTAGTAGAGCATTCGTGGCACGCACGCACACACACACAAACACAAACACGCATGCGCGCACTCACGCATGCATGCATGCATGCATGCATGCACGCACGATCACGTGCTCGCATGCTCCCACATGCTGAAAGAATAAAAAAAAAAGGAAAGAAAAGTTGCCTGGAAGGCCTGGAAGTAGACAAGAAGATTGGGAGTACAAGGTTGTCCTTTGTTTGAGGTACAAACTGGGTTACAAGAGACCTAGTCTTAGATAATTAATTATATTATACTAATTAAAATATTTAAAAAATAAAAGTACAGTCTGTAAAAAAAAAAACACAAAAGAAATGCTAAAATGTCCCTGGGGACACCTTGCCCACCCGACTCAGGCAACCATCTTCATCTTTCCATCAACATCCCATTCTTTTCCAGCCATCCCAGAATTCCACAAAAAGCTGTCCTTGCTGTCCTTCTGGACCAAGTGCTGCAGCCCAGTCGGGGTCTACCACAGCTCTGCCGACCGAGTGATCAAGCAGCTGGAAGTCAGCTTCGCCAGAACTGTCAACAAAGAGTATCCAGGACTGGCAGAACCAGGTACAGGTGGCAGTAAGAAGCCCTCCTCCTCCCCCCCGCGGCGAGGGGCACACAAAAAGGCCAGCCTTGAAAAAAAAAAATCCACACACTACAGGGAAAAGATCAACGAGTCCGCTAGACTGCAAAAAGATAGCGAACGTGCATTATGCCAGCCGTGACTTTTTTTTAAAGTACTGTATTGATTATTTTTTCCTGCCGTGACAAAACACCAGACAGAAACTGCTCATAAAGGAGAGGTCTGTTTTGGTCACATTTCAAGAGTCACAGTCCATCCTGGCAGGGATGGCATGGCAACAGAAGCAGGCCGGTGGAAAGTGAAGGGCGCATGTGACAAGTGACAGATTGGAAGCAGGTTCACCCCGTGGCCATGGCAGCCAGTTAGCCCCTAGGTTGTGAGGCTTCCACAGCCTCCAAGATAGCACCACCGCCTGAGGACCAAGTAGCACTTGAGTGTGTGGGAGGCATTTCCCATTCAGTCCACAAATACTTCATGTCTGTATTGCTGCTCAAATGTTTGTACATTTGTCCCTCGGTGTTTGTGGGTGAATGGTGCTGGAACCTGGCATGCATGACTGAGGCTGTATTTGCCTGTATCCCTTGCTTATACCGGTATGGGTTGTGTATAACCTCCACATCTCCTCCTGTATACCCCAGATGACTTATAACACTTGGATAGGCCAATCATTGCTTGGGGAGTAACTGCATTTAGAAATCTCTACATGTTCAGTAGAGATGTGCTTTTCCCTGGGTGTTCTTGGTCTATGGTTGCTTAGATTCATAGATATGGGACCCATAAGCACAGAGGGCTGAAAGTAAGCTTTATCCATGAAAATCCATCGGGTACAAAAGTGTCAGTTATGGTACAATGACTTTTTTTAAATTTATTTATTTATTATGTAGACAGTGTTCAGCCTCCATGTGTGCCTGCAGGCCAGAAGAGGGCACCAGATCTCATTACAGATGACTGTGAGCCACCATGTGGTTGCTGGGAATTGAACTCAGGACCTCTGGAAGAGAAAACAGTGCTCTTAACCTCTGAGCCATCTCTCCAGCCCTACAATGAGTTTTGAAGAATGGGGAGTTTCTATGGACTCCTAGTCTGTGCCTACAATATGAGCCAGCAATTCTACTCTTAAATACATGAAGAGAAGTGGGTTTTTCTAAGCCTTCCTGTCTGTGTAAGACATGCATAAGAAGATTCACAGCCTTCGTCACAACAGCCAGAATTTGGTGACAGCTCAAATGCCATGTGGAAATGGAGATTCTGTAACGCAATGATATCGTAGAGTAGCTTGTAGCATTTCTCGGAGACTCTATTGCCATTACAGGCTATAGTCTCTCTATAGGTGGCTCTCATAGAGACTATGTTGAGTAAAATGAACCAGACATAGACAGTACATGTTGTATATTCTGTTGGCGTGAAAGTTCAGGAACAGGAAAAGCTCACTTAAATCGATAAAACTCAGGCTAGGAAACTGGGTGTGATGCTGAGCTTCTGTAACTGTAACCCTCGGGAGACAGAGGCAGGAAGATCAGGAGGCTGAAGTCAGCCTCGGATGCCTGGCAAACTGGACATCAACGTTGGCTACATGATGCTCAGAAATAAAAATAAAAATGGAATTCAGGTTACTTGTTCCCTTTTGGGGAGGCTGAGTGGCTACCAACAGGAAGGGCCCCCAGAATAACTGAAGGGAAGCTGCAAATCTTTCACATCCTGACTCACTTGGTATTGTCATGTGGATATAGAAAGCAGGGACACTACCTGACTGTACATTGAAGGATAGCTCACTTTAAGCACTTTTTTACTTTATACTACTCTGATAAAAGGTGAGCAACTAAATGAATGGATCTGAGTACCATAATGAAGGGCTGGAGGGATGGCTCAGCAGTTAAAATTACTTACTGCTCTTCCAGAGGACCCCAGTTCAATTCCAAGTATTCACATGGCAGCTCATGTCTGTAACTCCAATCCCAGGGCATCTAATTCCCTCTCCTGGCCTACTTGGGCACCAGGCACACACATAGAACACAGACATACATGCAGGAAAGACATCCATACACATAAAAATAAATAAGTAGTTTAAGTGAATGCATGAATAACAAGTTCCGTGTTAAAGATGAATGTAAGTACCACGATAAAAGGTTAAGCAATATTAGTACCGTGATGAGCAAATGGATATATAAGTACAATGATAGTCACAGTTTCTGTAGGATAGTGGTTATCACATTCATCATGAAATACCAAGATGAAAGATGGATAAATGGGTGAGTGAATTAATGGATGAATGAATGAATGAATGAAAGTTGGTCCAGTTCCTTAAGCCACTTTGTCTCTTCCTTCCCAGTGTTTCGAACACTGGTGTCCCAAATCCTGGACTGCTCCGAGCCTCTGCTGTCGTCCAGCCTCTGCTCAGAAGTCATCACTGTGTTCCAGTATTACAGTTTCTTTACCAGCCATGGTGTGAGTGACCTGGAGACTTACCTGAGCCAGCTGGCCAGGCAAGGTAGGATGCGCTCTCCTGTCCTGTTGCAGAAGTGTCTTGGTCTGGCATCAGCTCTGGTCTTGCTAGTCAGGATGATTAGTAATGATTGCCCTTCGCGGGTGAGCTTGCCTTTTCGATGTCTTCTGGGCCCTCAACTTTAGTAAACTTCCTAGTATTGGAACAGGATCTCACTAAGCGCACTGGTCCAGGGGCTCACCAAACGGGAAACTGACAGGAGATTGGTCATCCCATTGCTATCCTTCCTTTCTCAGCTATTGGCAGTGCTATTTCAGATTGCCTTTTGTGGTAGAATTCTTATTTAGAGTGAGCCAATGGGAAGGGGAATGAGGAAAGATAGGAAGTACGAGGCTGCCCGTTCAAGGAAGGTGAAGGGGGTGACTAGGAGTATGCCAAGCTCAGTCCAACCCTTTCATGTGGCACTTCAAATATTGTGTACATCATATCTGAATAAAGGATCACACTCTTCAGGACAGCCAGAAGATAGCAGTCAGGAGCTGGTTCCTGGTTCTCAGGTCTGTGCTCAATAAAGCCATTGAGATTTAGCAATCCAGGCCAAAGGGATAGGAGGGAATGGAGAGTGTTCTCTGGGACCGGGTAGCACCGGGTACAGCGCCACACAGCAGCACCTTTGCTGGCGCAGACCCAGGTTAGTTCTGCGCTTTCCAGAATGTTAAATCCTGAGCCAATATGGGTGTTGTTTGGCATTGTGAAGGAGACATTTCTGCATAGCATAGGACACATGTGCTCTAGAGAAAGCATTGCAGGTGGCATGCCTGGCATACAAGACCAGGACCTTTGGGAGATTTCATGGTTGTTTTTTGTTTTTGTTTTGTTTGGGTGGGCAGTTAGTTTTGCCTTTGGTTTGTTTTCTTTAAACTTTTATTTTTTTTGTCTTAAATTATGCGCCCATGTGTCAAGTGGGTTTGTGCCTGTATGTGCAGTGCCCATAGAGACCAGAAGAAGACGCTGTACCCCTCGCCCCAAAGCTGGGGTTTAAAGGGTTGGGAGCCATTCCACCTCTGGTGCCTAGAATGAAATTCTCTGGTCTTATAGAAGAGGAATTTGTGCTCGTAAACGCTGAGTCAGCTCCCAAGCCCCTTGTTTTTGTTTTTAGACAGGTTCTCTAGCCCAGACTGGCCTCAGACTTACTATGTAGTCAAAAATTGTTTTGAACTTCTCACCCTCCTGCCTCTGTCTCCCAAGTTCTAAGATTACAGGTGTATGCTACCGTGCCCAGTTTATGTGATGGTGGAGATTGAACCTATTCACTTTCTATGTGCGAGGCTCTACCAACTGAGCGATGTCCCCAGCCCTTTGCTTATTTTTAATGTCTTTTTTTTCTCTTTCATTATAAAATGGATAGTTTTTACATTACAGAAAGTTTGGGAAATAGAAAATATATATTCAAATATCTCGTCCCTACTTGTCAACTTTTAACTTTCATTTGAACATGCATGGTTTTAGATTTCAAAATTGCGCCTTGTTAAGACCGGGGTCTATTTGTTTGTGTGTGTTTACTTGTTTTTGCCGTGCTAGGGGATTAAACCCAGGATCCCCTATACTGGAGAAGTACGGTACTCTGAGTTAATGCACCCAGAGTGATTGTTCCTTATAAAATATTTTCTCTTGTTTATATCTTAATATGCTTCATACTGTTAAAAGTCAAATATTTCCAAGCATTTTATTAGTTTTATATTGCCCTTATACTTGGATGTATCCTGTGTATTTGTATTGTCAAGTGCTTTTTGTGATTTGTTTGTTTAACTGTTATTTAATACACCCTTGGGGATTTTTATTGGCATACTTATTTACAAAGCAGTGGAACTAACAGACATCCACAGCAAAGAAAACAGGAAATTAAAGCAAAAATGTCTAGATGATTCTCACCTTTCTTCACTATGGGAAAGGTGTGACTGCTACAAGAGGTGAACTCTGGCTTTTCCTTTCCCATCTATTTCCATGTACTTCCCATGTCACTGAATAGATGCCATCTCATCATTGTGTTTTAAAGACCAAGAGATATCCTTGCTGGATGTCTACTCAGGAATTAGACACCAATCTGCATTCACAGAATACAGTCAGTTTGTCCCAGAGGGATTCAGAATCCTATAGTTCATCATATTGTCTCTAGATTCCTATAAACTAAGTGATTGTTCCCCTTCCAGTCTTGACCCTTCACCAAGGATTAGATTTTTGGCATTTGGTTTTGAGTGAAAGACAGTGTTTACTATGACTATTAAGAAGGTGGCAGATAATGTTTCTTTTTATTTTCTTCATTGTATATTTTTACATTTGGCTGTTGAACCTGTCTGTATGGCACTGAGTGATGGATGCCTATAACCACAGCATTTGGGGAGTTAAAGGCAGAAGGACTAGGAGTTTTACATCTTCTTTCTCTTCATGGAAAGTTCAAGGCTGCCCTAGGCTACATGAGATTCTGTCTTTAAAAAAAAAAAAAATTCTATGTATTTTTGCCACCATTTTAGGGTAGAAATTCACCTTTACATTTTTCCTACAATTTGCCCTCATCTCATCATAATTATTTTCATTATTGACCTTTGTCATAGACTAAGGTTTTCTGTACACTTGGGTCTGTTATGCATCTGTTCTTACGGAAAGCGTAAGTGAAATGCTTGTGTTCTCGACACACACACCACGGCACTCTCAGAACGTGAGCTCTTGCTCCTCACCTTCCAGTTGCCGTGGTTCAGACGCTGCAGTCCCTGAGAGATGAGAAACTGCTGCAGACAATGAGCGACTTCACACCCAGCAGCCTCCCGGCCCAACAGGAAGTGCTTAGGACCCTGGCTCTTCTGCTCACCAGAGGCGACAATGAGGTCAGCGAGGCTGTGACCCTCTACTTGGCAGCAGCCTCCAAAAACGAGCACTTTAGAGAAAAGGTAGGATGCTAAAACGTGCCTAGCAAGGCACGGGCTTCACTGTCATTTGCCACTGACATCCAGCTGGGCTCTATGGCACTTACCCAGGAGGCTGGAGAGGAGGATGGCTGAGAGCTCAAAGTGGGCCTGGAATGGAGACACCAAACTATGTTACTGAGGTTACTAGTGTCACAATTTCTGATGTATTTCAAAAAGGACTGCACAGGAAGAGTTCAAAGTTTCCCAACCCAGAGAAATGGGAGCGTGTGAGGAGGTGGGAACACCAGAAGTAGATCTGAGTGTCACACATTGTCACAGAATGAGGAGCATGTGAGGACGTGGGAATACTAGTGGCAGATCTGAGCATTATACCTTGTCTTCCATATTGCCCTCTACCCCAGAGATGCATATGATTCTGTCAATTAAAAGCAAAAGTGGTATGGTTTAAAATAAAAACCAATAAAGGAAAAAAAATTCTCCCACAGAACCCATTAGTAACCCTTAGTTAGGAGATAGGGTCCCCACAAGCCCCTCCCTGCTCCATACCTGGCAGGCCCAGTCTTGCTCAGGTCTCAGTACAGGCACCCAACTGCCGCGAGACCATGTGTGCAGTAGCTGCACCATGCCCTGAAGACAGCGTCTGCAGCCTTCTCCCTGTCTCCCAACACTTCCTTATTTTCTCCTCCCTTTTCATAATATGCTGGATCTCTTGGGACTGAAGTTACAGCCCATTGTGAGCTGCTGTGTGGGTGATTGGAACCAAACCTGAGTCCCCTGGAAAAACAACCCATGTTCTTAACCTGTGAGCCATTTCTTCAGCCCTAGACTTTTAAATATTTGAGACAGAGTCTCACTATATAACTCTGCCTAGCATGGAACTTTCAATGTAGACCATGCTGGCTTGAAATTCACCATGCAGACCAGGTTGGCCTCAAATTTGCCCCAATCTTCCTGTCTCTGCATGCACATGGTGCACAGATATACACACAGGCAAAGAACCCATATACATAAAACAAAGGAGATTTTTTTTAACTTAAAAATCTATATATCACATATGAGAGAACCTGAAGAGGAGATACAGAGCAGGTGAACTACTGGACAGACAAACAGACACATGAGGACTTTCTGAGGCCCAAAGCTTAGTTCTTCATTTTATTATTATTTCTGTCTCTTGTTCTATTCTATTCCTTTTCTGTTCTGTTCTTCTACCCTGACGTTTTCCTTCTGTCTCTCTTAATGTCTTTCTTCTGTATCTTTCCTGGTATTTTTCCTCTCTTGTGTCTTTATTTTTCCCCTTACAGCTTATATATCCCAATGAATCCAAGTAAAAACAGCATGTTTCCATACCTCTTACATGATTACATATTACAGGTGAAAAACAAATTGTCCCAAGAACCCACATACATTCATATCCAAGCAACATGTTATAGATTAACAGAGTGTAAGTAAGCAAAGTATTTTTCTCAGCCAGTTCTTTTGCTGTCAGGCTGTATTTTATGGTTACAAAGAAAGGACCAATCATTTTATTATTTATCACAAAAGGTAATTTTTTTAAAAAAATCTTAAAGCAACCACCAATATAAAGTTTGTGTGTATGTGTGTGTAAAACAACCAGTCAGCTCTACTTTAAATCCTCAGTAATGTATAGCTACTCATTAGCAGTTTTTTATATCAGAAATCTGGGGCAGAAATACGTACAAGGAACTAATTATCGCCTTTGATCACCAACCCATCCTAGTAAGAAAGGTCCCTCAGCCAGCAATAGCCAGGCTGTCACTGTTCTTGTTTCCTGACCTCATCGAGTCCCTCACTCAACTATGTGCCTTTCTAAGCTTTAAATTATTCCCCAAGGTTTTTTCTACCTAAAAGTCATTAACAAAAACATCGTAACCTAACGTTACTAACAATTCCACATATCTAAATTCTTTATACAGGTGATGCTCCAGCAGCAATGCTTGGAAAAAAAGTCAACCACCGTTATTTTAAGTACCAGTAACACTGCCCAGTGAGGGGCCAGAAAGCCCCTGAGAGTTTTCATATAACCCATAGATTATAGAGGGATGTGGTGACAGGAAGGCACCAATCAGAGCCGTGCTCAGTAACAGCATGAGGCCTCAGGGCAGAGCCCTCCTGGGGCTATGCCTCTCCACGGCTCACTCCGGTGTAGCTTTGCCAATCCTGTTCCTTGAGTTCCAATGCTGCCTGTTGATCCCCTCACATGGTCTCAAACTTCCCCACGCCAATTACCCTCCTTTGTCGCCTGTCTTACAAACTGTTTGGATGACACACAGTTCAAAATGTATCACAATATCTCTCCTTCACTTCCAGGCCTTGCTCTATTACTGTGAAGCACTGACAAAGACCAATCTCCAGCTACAGAAGGCAGCATGCCTGGCCCTAAAGAGCCTGGAGGTAAAACCCAGTCCCATAGCCCTACAGTCCCACGCTTCCAGAATCAAAGCCCCTCAGCCCTGTCCAGACTCAGAGGCCCACACTCATCTCCTGAATCAGAGACCCCATCCTGGTGGCGCCCCTAGAACAACTAATCTGTTAAGCATAGAGGCAAGCCCCACATGACATAGCAGGTTCTTTCCATACTCAAACCCCGCCTTGTAGCAATGTCTCTCGGGTCCTCAGAGCTGCACCATCAGGGTCCTCTCTCCCCTTCAGCAATGACTGCAGAGGGTTTTGTTAAAGTCACTACGTAGAGAATAACTGCGGTTGACCACTGACCACAAGAGCCATCATGACTCTGGATCAAATGTAGAAAAGTATCTTAACCCCCAAATGAGATGATGTGGTGATTTCCCCAATGTTTATCATGTATAAGTTAGCACAGAAAAATAAAGCCTGCGCTGAAGTGTCTCAACTCGGTTTGTCACTGAGCTCCCAGGTCCCTTCTCTTTAAATTAGTTTGCAGGCGTGTCAGCCTTTGATAGCATGACATGACATCATCATCTACAGGTTTCACAGCTGAGTTACAAAAAGAAAAAAAAATACACTGTCTTAAATCTGTGATTTTTGTGTCAAGCTGCACTGTTAGCCTCAGCCACACGTGGACTGCGGGCTGCATGTTGGATGCCCCTGACTGCTGAGCAATGGTAACATGCTAGAGGAGGAACTTGTGAGCAGGGAGAGAGCTAAATGCAAACACAAGGAAGCAAAGACTGCAGACTTCCAACGGAAGTGTGTCTTTCGTCAGACCAGATCTCATGTGTGACCCACCTTTGCCACATAAAAAACATTAGGAGAGGGCCCAGGAGAAAGAATGAGAAGGCCACACCTTAGTGTTTACTAAAACCTTAGGTGGGTGCATGGGACAAGGAGCAGGCCTGAGGGGACATGAAAACAAGAGATTAATGCCACAAAAGGAAAAGTTAATGACCGGTGAAGGAAAACAACCGTGGGAAATTTTGCCTTCCTTGTTACTTGGTCAGAAAATTACCTTCAAGTGACCCAACCCCTCCCCAAAAAATGTCCCCATTGGTTAAGTATTTATTTGGGCACTCTCCTGGCGTGCTGTGACTCATTGTAACTGAGTGTCTCTGCCACAGATCTCAGACACACAAAGTGCAGCCGTCGGTCTGAGTTCTACCGCACTTAGGTTTTAGCCCGGGCATACCCCCAGCTGAGAGCACCACATCCCTGCTCTGTTTCTTTTCTCCCTTCTGGGAACAGAAGTTCTCTTTCCAGGCCACTCCCAACTCATGAAAAGAATTCCTCACAACGTGTTGTTTCAATGCAAGCACAAGAGTCTAAAATGAGGGTCGTGTTGGAATCAAAGGGCTACAACTTAAAGAACTGACTGTTTAGTCTCCTGGAAGACTAAGTCTCCTGGGTCTAAGTGTCCGGCACTAATCTATTTTCCCTGGCAGGCCACCGAAAGCATTAAAATGCTAGTGACATTGTGCCAGTCTGACACTGAAGAAATCAGAAACGTGGCCTCGGAAACCCTCTTGTCTCTTGGTGAGTTTGTTTGTTTCTTTATGTTTGCTTACTTCTGATGTTCTCCTGGGAACTGAAAGGCAATTTCTTACCCCTGCTCTGTGCACATCCCCCTTGGCTGTTTGCTCATTGGTCCTAGAACAGGAGTAATCAATTGTGCCCATACCTTGCCAGGCGTTTTCTCCCTTGTTATCTCCAAGAGTTCGTCAGTCCGTTCCCTATTTAGAATCAAGGCTGTTTTGAGAGTGGTGACTCACACCTGTAATCCCTGCTGAGGCAGGAGAATCACCTCAAATTCAAGGACAGCTTAGGCTACGCAGTGAATCTGTCTCATAAAAGCAAAAATGCTAGAACCTGGAACGCAGAAGCCAAATGGGAACTCTGGAAATCCCAGTGGGGTTGCCTGTGTGGGGGTGACACACCAAAGTCAACGTCCCTGACCTCTGCAGCGAATGCTGTGTACCCCAGGCACCTCAGCCTCCCAGTGACTCTGATCACCCTGCTGTCCTAGCCCCACTTGGTGTCATTTCATTCTGGTACACACACACACACACACACACACACACACACACACACACACTGCTGCCCCCGCTTCACTTTGTGTGGGTTTGTATCTTTTTTGTTCCTTTGGGTAGACTTGGGAAGATGAGAGTGACAGACTTTTTTTTTCTCATTTACTTATTTATTTGGGGGGGGGGAGGTTCTAGACAGGGTTTCTCTGTGGCTTTGGTGCCTCTCCTGGAACTCACTCTGTAGGCCAAGCTTACCTCAGACTTACAGAGATCTGCCTGTCTCTGCCTCCCGAGTGCTGGGATTAAAGGTGTGCACCACCACCACCCAGCTTCTCCTATTTTAAAGACTAGGTGGTTCTTTGTATCCCAGATTAATGTAACTATGAACTTACTATGTACCCTAAAAATGGTCTTGAACTTCTGATCCTCCTGCCTCCACTCCCAAGAGCCAGCATTACAGGTCCATGACATTGCCTCTGATCAAATCCAGGATTTTGTACACATTAGGTCAGTAGCTACCAACTGAGCCACCATGCTCAGCCATCAAGAAAACCTTTCTTAACGCTGTGTAAAATAGACAATCATTGCTGGTAGGTCACATTTGTAATTCAAACATTTTAGGGGTTGAGGCAGGAAGCTTGTCACAAGTTTAGGGATAGCCTGGGTTACATATTGAGTTCCAAGCCAGTGTGCACTACAAAGTCCCTAGCTACACATATACACATAGAGAGAAGGAGGAGAAAGGAAGGAGAAGGGAAAAGAATTATAGAAAACTTTACTATGATCATATATTCTAAAGTCTGAAATTGTTCCTCTAAAAGTCTTTAAGCCAGATACTGCCAACGTCTCCAGGGGGAAAAGCCACTCTGGTTTGACAATACATCTTAGTCATGTGAAGGAGACTCATGATTATTATAACCGCCATGAAAATCCCATTTATTCTGAGACCTTCTTTCTTACAAATATGGGATTAATAGGACTTGGCACTGCCATTGAACACACTATTATTTGCAGAGGAAGCTTAGCAAACCTGTGTTTGTTTAAAGGATAAAATAATTATTCTGTACGGCTGTTTTAGGTATAGAAGTTATTTAATTCTCTAAAACATACCCAGGGTATTAGTGACTTAGTCTTTTATCCCTTAGTCTTCTGAAATAACAATGAAGGTTTGAAAAACTAAGCACTAGCCAGATGTTTGGAAAGCACAGCCAGTGTGTCTCTTTCCGTGGTAAACTGAGGAGGGGAACCTCATGGCCTGTGCCCCAAGACTCACTTAGCTGTACTCCTAGCTGGATCTCCAAGAAGGATCACCACCTCTGTTCCACTACCACCCTTTCCACGCTGCTCACACCACCCAGGCCTCACCATCATGGTTCAGGTTTCTGCACTTGCTGCGTACCCAAGTCTTCAGGGAAGTCTAATGTCACTGTGCCTCTGCCCCCACTCCCTGTGGTCTCCAGGGTGCCCCTGCACTGGGGTTTTAAAGCCTTCTGGGTGACTAAAATATTCAGTAGAGTTGAAGACCCCACCCCCAAACTCAGTGCTGTGATTCTTCCTTGACCCTGATTGATGCCCAGATGCTGGGTGGTAGTGGCGCAGGCCTTTAATCCCAGCACTCGGGAGGCAGAAGCAAGTGGATCTCTATGAGTTCGAGGCCAGCCTGGTCTACAAGAGCTAGTTACAGGAGAGCTAAAACTGTTACACAGAGAAACCCTGTCTCAAAAACAAAACAAACAAATTTTAATCTGAGACAGAATTCCATTGAGTTTCTTGAACTGGTAGCAATCCTCCTGCCTTGGGTTCTTGTATAATTAGGATTACAGGCCTACACCACCACACCTGACTTTTATTTATTTTCTTCTGACAGCCTCTCAATGTAGCCAAGGCAGTCTTTTGACTCCTCTGTAATATGAACATTGTCCCTGGCTCATTCCCAGCCCTCATATTCCTATATTGTAATTCGTTTTTTAAATAGTAACAAAATTTATTTTCAAAATGTTAGCTACATAAGATGTTGCTATGAGGGCCAGAGAGATGGCTCAGTGGGTAAAATGCTAGCTGCACACATCTAACAACATGAACTTAGTCCTCAGAACCCATTTAAAAAGCTAGGCGTACACATATCGGTAATAACAACAACCTTCCTACAGTAAGAGGGGAGGTGGGGGCAAGAGACTCACTCCGAAGCTCAGAGACCAGCTAGTGTGGCATCTGTAGTGCAGCAAAAGCAAGAGGGACCCTGTCTCAAAGTGGAAGGAGAGATCTAGCTCCAGAATGTTGTCCCTGACCTCCAGATGTGTGTGGTAGTGCACATGTACATGCATACATGCACCCACATGCATAATAAGTAAATAAACAGAAGATGTGGCTATAAACAAGACCAGATGGCCCATTGCCTAGAGGAGTACTGTATGTTTAGGGGATTGTCTTAGGGTTTCTGCTGCTGGGAAGAGACACCATGATCATGGCAACTCTTATAAAGAAAACGTTTAATTGAGGTGGTAGCTTACAGTTTCCAAGGTTTAGTCCATGATCATCATGGGAGAGAGCATGGCAGCTGGGAGTGTGGTGAGACATGGTGCTGGAGAAGGAGCTGAGAATTCTACATCTTGGTCCAAAGGCAACAGAAATTGAATTGAGACACTGGTGTGGCTCGAACATATATGAGACCTCAAAGCCCACCTTCACAGTGACACACTTCCTCCAACAAAGGCATACTTCCCAATAGTGCCATTCTCCATGAGCTTATGGGGACAATTACATTCAAACTACCAAAGTGTAAAGACTAACTTTTAGCTAAAGCTTGAAGCCTAACTTTTAAAGATTAACTTTTACCATTAGTCATATAGATGTCCATAGCAACATAATGTGTGTAACATGAACGGGCCGGCTTGCTTGTTGGGGTTTTTGTCCTGCCCAGTTCCCACAGCTGTTTAGCCCCAAAGTAAATCACACAGAGATCTCTATAAGTTGTAAATCTGATTGGCCCATTAGCTCTAGCTTCTTATTAGCTAACTCTCACATCTTGATTAACCCATTTTTCTGATCTATTTTAGCCATATGGCTCAGTACCTTTTTCAGCTGGCAGATCACATCCTGCTGCTTCGGTGATCTGGGCAGGAGTGGGAGGAATCAACTTCCTCCTTCCCAGAATTCTCCTGTTCTCATTGCATCATTTCTACTTCCTATCTGGTTTTCCCACCTATACTTCCTGCCTGGACAATCAGCGTTTATTTAAAATATGATTGACAGAATACAGACAATTCTCCCGCACCAATGTGTAATAATATGTATATATAATATAATGTAATAAGTCAATATAGAATGTATTCAAGTTACATATAGCGTTCAGTACACTGAGGTCTTGCTGAATAAGAGGTCTTACTCAATAAGTCTTACTGAAATCCCTAATGCATTAAACAAAAATTAATCTGTCATGTGCAATTAATTAATTGGCAGCAGATGGCAAGGACTTGTGGCTTTGTTTTGTGCCTTGCCTTTTATCTACTCTCTGACATTAACTCAAAAGTCCTTGGTTGTTCTAAGTATTGCCTAGAAATTTATAACATAACTGAGACTCAAAAAACATTTTCTTCACATAGTAATTAGCTAAGACATCAATACAAGGCTGAGGGTGTAGTTCAGTGCGAAAGGGTTTGGTCTAGTATGCATGAAGCCCTGGGTCCAATCCCCAGGAACTGAGAAAAAAATGTAGCAACAGTATCAGCGAATCAATCCCACACCAGTTATGTTTTAAGGGGTTATTTATTTTGGGGGGTAAAACTTACATACACCATAAACCGTCAGGAAGGGAGCCTAGTAGGTGGAGCAGGAGCCGGGAGCAGGAGCTGGGACCAAGCACCGGAACCAAGAGGGCCTGATCCAGAGCTGCTTCTCTTTTTAAAAGAGAAATATACCACGCCCCAGTGGGCTGATATTTCAGCAGCTATTGGCTGACGGAGCGGAAGTCGCTCCCCGGTGCACTATGGGCTCGTGCTTCAGCGACTATTGGTTGAGGCAGCGGAAGTTACTCCCACAGCACAACAGCACAGCTCCACCATGTTCTCCTGTGTGATGCATAAAGAGGTTAAATTCGAAGCAGTAATCATGTTTACTGTTCCCTGTCCAGGAGAAGATGGGCGGCTGGCATATGAACAGTTAGACAAATTCCCTCGAGACTGTGTTAAAGTCGGAGGTCGTCATGGAACTGAAGTTGCCACAGCCTTCTAAATTTCACGTTAGCACTGCCTGACTGCTGAACTGATACTTGGCCCTCGTCACGAGGGTGCTGTGATGTGGCCGGAGGGCACCTGGAACTTGCAGAGCGCCGCCCGCTTTTGCCAGCGTGGAGACCTCGAAGTCCAATTGTGCTGTGCCGGCTACTTTTCCTTGGCCCACAGAACAGGGCTGTGTGTAGCTCACCAGACCACATCGTATTGTGTCTGACAGCACTTCAAAGCCCATCTTACGTCACTGTGGAATTTGGAAACAGCCATCTTTGCCCCTGTTTGGAAGTTCATCTGTGAGCTTGAGCTCTTGAGGCACTCTTTGGATAAGTATCATATACCTTGCCCCTTTTCTGCTGTGTTCTCGGGGGGCCGTGGTCCTTTAGCTCCCTACTTTTACTTTAAAAACAAAGCACAAAAGGAAATTCCTTCAGATCAGTTCTAAGAGGCTAAGGTTTGGAGCTGAGGCTGTAGCTCCCTTGGCAGAGTGCTTGCCTAGCATGCACGGAGCCTGGGCTCATCTCCAGCACCGCATAGGCTGGATGTGCTCCTCACAGAAGCTCAGTGCTCCAAAACTGGAGGACGTAGGATCAGAAGTTCAAAGTCATCCTCAACTACCCAGGGAGTTCCAGGACAACCTGGGATACATGAAGCCATGGCCGGGGAGGTGCAACCTGAGTTGTATATCTTAGCTTTTTATAGTTCCTACTATTCGTTTCATTTTTCCATCCTGAGAATTTCCACATCATCTATCCGTATGGCTTAAAAGAGTAATTGAAAAGTACTGCTTCATTAAGATCGTACCTATCCTACTGGGAATACACAAAAGCCTTGAAGCTTAGGCCTTTATCCTTTAACAAAAGCCATCTTTAGCGCACTCTTGATTTTTTTTATTGTTATTTGGTTTTTGTTTTATCTTGAGACAGAGTCTCCCTATTGCAGTACTGACTGGCCTGGAACTCGATATATAGACCAGGCTGCCCTTGAACCTGCAGCAGTCCTCTAGCCTCTGCCTCCAGAGCTGGAATTATAGACTCAAGCCACGAGGCCTAGTTCCACATGCGTACTTTTTCCCTAAGACAAATACAAACCCCAGCAGTATAGATTCAAAAAGACGTGTGCTGTTCTTTCAGGCGGGAACCTAGACTTTGGATGAGTCCTAACTGGGTAGAATAGTGGGGTCCCGGACGTGGCGGGAGCCTGAGTCGCACCTGGCCTTGAGCTATGAAAACTGCTCCAGAGCTTCAGCAGCGGCTCAGAACCAGGGTGGAGACTCAGCCATTTACTAAGTGTGGAAGGGGAGGGTAATGCCAAGACATCACAGCAAAATGTGTGAGTGCAATTTAAACTGTATCCTGGATGTGTTTGTATGAAATACCAATTAGATATAGTTTCAATATATGCATTTTAGTGAGACTTTTAAAAGGGTTCATTTCATTTTAAAGTGAAGGTTGTTTGCCAGGCTTCTGGCAACACATTCTTTCAACTGTGAAGTTCCACTGTACATATTTGTATATTTGTAAATATTATATATATGCATATAGCCTTCATTTTAAACTGTACAGTTATAGTATGTATAGGCTATGGTCTCCGTTAAATGGTTGAAATGTCTCTTTTATAGGAAGTCAAATCACAGCTATTACAGGGATTTTGTTTGGTTTGTTTGGAATTTTAAACTTTGACTATTGCATGGATAATTAATTTCACATCTTTTTATTCACCTCTGTGTTTAGTTTTGGTTGGGAAAGTGCTTTGAGTTTTGTGGTATTTGTATTTATCACTCTTTCAATCATGTAAGTCAAAATAAAAATTATTTTTAATTACTAGTCTAATGTAGACTCTGATATATGTTTTTAATTTTTTATCTATTATTATGTGTGTACATAGTGTTGCATGGGAGGCAGAGGACAACTTTGTAGAGTTTGGTCTCTGTCCACCTTTTCAAAGGCTCCTAGAAGCAAGCTCGGATTATCAGACTTGCATATCCAAGGCCTTTACTCACTGAGCCATTCCGTGGTCCTTGTCTATTTTCCATATTCCCTTCTTGAGGTAGTATTTATATACCACCCCTCACTATCCACTTGAGTTTACTTTTCTGAAGTGAAAATCCTAAGGGAATTCTGTATCCTGGTGTAAGTAGTAGACTAAGTACACAGGAGGAAAACAACTATTTAAAACATCTTCCCAGCCACCTTTAATCCCAGCACTTGGGAGGCAGAGGGACCTCTGTGAGTTTGAGGCCGGCCTACAAGAGCTAGTTTCAGGACAGCTAGGGCTGTTACACAAGAAAAATTTCATCTCGAAAAGCCAAAATAAATAAATAAATATTAAAAACAACAACAACAAAAACCCACAAAGCATCTTTCCAACACTCAGGAGGCAGGGGCAGAGGCTGGTGAATCTCTGAGTTTGAGGCCACCCTGATTTACAGAGTGAGTGCCTGGACTACACAGAGAAACCCTGTCTCGAAAAACAACAAAAACAGACAAACAAAATACGAATAAAACTCTTCAGACTGAACCAGCAGCCCTCCCTCCTGCCTTTCCCAAGTGATAAAGATATTCACTAAAGCCACGCTGTGTCTGCTCTTGAAACCAGCCATTCAGTAAGTTCAAGGTCTTAACTTGTGAATATCCTTGCCAGATCTTTGTCCATTCTGCACTGTTCTGCCCTCTCCTCTGTACTAAGTATAGGGTCACTGTATATACTTGTGGTTTCTTCTCCCAATTATTTGTGTGTGTGTGTGTGTGTAAGTATATGCATACGTATGTGTTGGGCTTTACACTTGTGCACACACGGAAGCCAGGGTAAGTTGTAACATGAGGGGCCAGCTTGTTGGGGTTTCTGTCCCGCCCAGAACCCCACAACCGGCAAGTCCCAGAGAAAATCAATCACACAGAGATCTCTACAAGTTATAAAGCTGATTGGCCCATTAAGTCAGGCTACTTATTAGCTCTTATAACTTATGTTACCCCATTATCCTTATCTACGTTAGCCACATGGCTCAGTACCTTTTCCAGTGGGGCAGCTTACATCTTTCCTCTCCGGTGGTCTGGGCAGAACTGGCAGAGGGAACTTCCTAGAATACTCACAGTCTCTTTGCTCCACCTCTACTTCTTGTCTGGCTTTCCTGCCTATACTGCCTGCCTGGCCAATCAGCGTTTTATTAAAATATGATTGCCAGAATACAGATAATTCTCCCGTACCAGTAAGTTAGATGTCTTCTGTCAGTCTCTGCCTATTCCTTTGAGGGTCCACCTGAATCTGGAGTTTGTATTCATATGTCTAAACTAGAAGCCAGGAAGGCCCAGAAATCCTCCTCTTCTTGCCCCTCCTCGGAACTGGGGTTATGGGCATTTGTAGGATGCCCTGCTGGGATCTGAACTCTGATCCTCACGATTTCACAGCCAGTGCTCTTAATAGCTAAACTATCTCTCCAGTCAATTCCCTTCCTACCTCACCACACTTTGAGACAAGGTCTTCATAGGGAAGGATGCCCTTGAACTCATTATGCAGCTGATAATGGCCTCAGTGGATGATTCCACTGAGATTTCAGAAGGGAAGCCTGAAAGCCAGGCTTGTGTGGCCGGATAGGAGTTCTGCAAGTGGTGTCCACCCACCCCCAGCAGGAGGGCAATGCATGAGGCCTCACTGAGTGAAACCAAGGCTGCAATGGAAGAGCTTTAGTCCAGAATGTGTGCCTGCCCAGGAAGCTGCAACTAGTGAACAGAGCCAGCCTGAGGGAGCTGTCACGTGGACTGCAGTTATTAGTAAGGCTTTTTTGGAGCTCACAGCACAGTGTCCAGTATGACATCATGTTTTCTCAGCTGGAGTTTCGTTTACCTTCACTACTTCCCTCCAGTGCCGTCTCCTTCCCTTCTGGAATGGGAATGCAATACCCCTATTGTATCATGGGTTTACAATGAAGTTTGGCTGGGGTCTCAGACTTCCAGCTTGGACATCTGTGCAGTAGAACAACTGTTAACCCTCTGGGGACTCTCGGAGATGAGCTAAATACATACTTTCCCAGGAGAATGGGAATGGAGGTTCCCAAAAAGAAGTTGCACTTTATGCTCCACCTTCTCCAAAGGCGGCTCAACGGATCAGACATACAGCAGCTGTGGGGAGGTTGGGATGCTGCAGGTCTAGAACTTCGTTATAAATCGCCTAGGGCTAGATCTGCCCTCTCCGTAATCATTTGTTGTCGCCTCTGTGTGTGACCTAACATTCTGGTGACTCGTAGGGCTTTGGGCAATGTACGAACAGACCCTTAGCCCCCAGCTTCTACCAACCCAGAGACATGTGAGACCACGCAGAGGGGCTGTCGCCCACCCACCTGATCTTCCTACAACATTATTTGAAAAGTGTGTTGATTTCTGACCTCTTCTGCTCTGTTACTATAAAAAATTTCACAAGACTGTTGGAACCTGATATTTGGGGTAACCTAAATCTGTGTCCTCATATTTAGCCATGGTCCTTCATATTTAGTCCCAAAATAAGCTCTCTCTTTTCCCCTTTGAGATGATAGCTTGTGGTTTTTATTCTATTTGTTGTTATTTATATTAATATGGGTATGAGCATTTGAGAATACAGGTTTTTGTTTGTTTGTTTGTTTTGGTACAGGATCTCACTGTGTACCCCTGGCTGGCCTCAAACTCATAGAAATCCACCAGACTCTGCCTCCCAAGCACTGGGATTAAAGGTGTGAACCACTATGCCCAGTGGGTTTGTACCTTAAATCCCCCCAAAGGCTTGTGTGCTTAAAGGCTTGGTCCTCAACTTATGGTGCTACTGGAAGGCAATAGAATTAGAAGTGGAGCCTACTAGGAAGATGCTGTGGGAGCACATTCCGTTCCTTCAGCCAATAGCATTTAAGATACCAGTCCACCTCTGAACTGGTATGGGGTTATTTTGTTACTTCCACCATCAGGAAGATGTTAGGTCACTGAGTGGGGCATGCCTTGAAGAGGTATTGGGACCTTGCCTTTCCTGTTTCTCTTTGTTTCCTGGCCGCCATAAAATGAACGGTCTCACTCCATCATACACTCCCTGCCATGATCTACCTTTCTATAGGATCTAAAAGGGGGCAAGACACAATGGCCCACACCTCTAATTCCAGCATTCAAGAAGCAGAGGCAGACAGATCTCTATGAGTTTGAGGCCAGCCTGACCTACATAGTGAGTTCCAGAACAGCCAGGGATATGTAGAGAGACCCTGTCTCAAAAATGAAAGAAGCAAGACAGCCCCTTGACTCAGCTGACTGCGGACTTGACCTCCCAAACTGTGAGTTAGCCCTTCCTTCTTGAAACTGTTCATCTCAGACATGTTGTCACAGCAGTGGAGGAACACTTCCTGGGAGCCTAGAAACCAGGTCCTCTCACTTCCCGAGCACTCAGCAACACATGCTGCATGCATAGTTGCCGTGACTGGCGTGGAAGCCAGGGAGTGGGCACCAGATGTGCAGCAGGAAGGATAAAAGACATAACAGTGTCTGCCCTTGTAAGACTCATTGTCTGACAAAGAAAAGATAATCAGGCCAAAAAGGAAAAAAGAAATCAATGATTGTAAAAAATTGGGTTGGGGATGGGGACTGTCTTAGGGCGCTCTATTGCTGTGAAGAGACACCTTGACCGTGGCAACTCTTATAAAGCAAGATTTTAATTGGGGTGGCTCATGTACAGTTTCAAAGGTTCAGTCTATTATCGTCATGACAGGGAGCATAACAGTGTGCAGGCAGACATGGTGCTGGAGCTGAAAGTGCTACATCTTGCAAGCAACAGGAAGTCAACTGAAGGTCACATGGAGGGAAGCTTGAGCGAGAGAGACCTCAAAGCCATCCCCCACACACTTCCTCCAACAAGACCACACCTCCTAATAGTGCCATTGCTGTTAGGGACATTTTCTTCCAAACCACCAGAAGGACATAGTCCTGCATTAGAGCAAATGGCGAAAAAGCTTGAGGCTCTGAACTTAAACTCCAGCTCCAAAAGAGGGGAAATGTTGGGTTGCAAATTTAAAGAATGGGAAAAGCCTGTAAAATGTGTGGTTGAAAACTGAACAGAGAAACCATGTAGAGGGGGCTGGAGAAATGGCTCAGAGGTTAAGAGCACTGACTGCTCTTCCAGAGAACCCGGGTTCAATTCCCAGCACCCACATGGCAGCTCACAACTGTCTGAAAATCCAGTTCCAGGGGATCTGACACCTTCACACCAATGCACATAAAATAAAGATAAATAAATCATTAAAAATTATAAAAAAAAAGAAACCATGTAGACTATCTCTGGAAAGAATATTCCAGGGGGATGGAGAAATGGTTCAGTGGTCAAGAGCTCCACTGTTCTTCCAGAGGATCTGGGTTTAATTCCCAGTGCTCACAGGGCAGCTCGCAAATGTCTAACACCCTCTGCTAGCCTCCAGGCACACGTATGATGCACAGACATACAGACAAAGCATCCCTACACATAAAATAAAAACAAATGGTTTTTTTTTAAGGAAATATTCCAGAGGCAAGGAATACAAGCCTTTGAAAACGTACCATGCTTGGTGTTTTGAATATTCTATGCTCTCTACATCCTTATACAAGCTCATATAACTGAAGTACCCAGTCAGGAACATTTTATGATGTATGGGATATGTTTTGAAAATAGAGCCAAGAGAAACTGTCAGGAAGTTGGAAATGAAATAGGAAACAGGCTAAGAATGACTTCAAATATTTTAGGCTGAACAACAAACTGAAAATATGGAATATCAACAGAAAACCCTAGAGCAAGAAGGAGGAAACCCAGGAATTATTTTAGACACGATAAAGTTTATATCCAAAGATAAAGATGGTGATTTAATATGAGTCTGGAAGTCAAGTGAAAAATCCTATTATAAATATAAAATTGTGGGAGTCTGAGGCAAGTGGATAAGCAAATCTCTATGTGTTTGAGACCTGCATGGTCGATATAGCAAGTTCCAGGCCATTCAAGACTACAGAGTGAGATTGTCTAACAAACGAACTATAGACACACACACACACACACACAAGGTGAGCATCAGAGAGCATAATTCCAGTACTCGGTGGACTGACACAGTAAAATCTAGATCTCTGGGGTTGAGCTGGAAAGATGGCTCAGTAGCTAAGAGGACATACTGTCTTCCAGAGCGCTTCAGTTCCCAGCACCCTGTAAATTCTAGGTCCAGGGGAACACACTATCCTCTTCTAGCCTTCAAGAGCACTCATGCTCATACATGGACACATGCATACGCACATCCAAACACATACCCACTGCACTGTACACACTGTGTCAGGATCAATTACACAAGGACATAGCCCTGTCACCCACCATAACCATCACTCAACCCCCATCAATGGATGTATATTTGGGTTTGGGGTTCTTTGTTTTGTTTTGTCTTGTGGTTGGTTTTTTGTTTGTTTTTTTGTTTTTGTTTTGTTTTGTTTTTTGAGACAAGGTTTCCAATAGCTCAGTCTGCCTCATAGTCACCATTTTTGCAGTCTATACTTCAAAGACTTAGTTTACTTTTAATTATGTGTGTGGGGGTAAGTGTGGGGTGGGATTTATGTCCATGTGTCTGTGGGTGCCTGCAGACTCTTAAACAAACAAACCAAAAACAATCTTTAGGGGCTAGAGAGACGGCTCAGTGGTTAAGAGCATTCATTCTTGCAGGGGACCTGGATTCAATTCAAAGAACCCACATGACAGCTCCCAATTATCCAAAACTCTGGGTAATCCACTGCCCTCTTCTGACTTCTAAGGGTACTGGGCACACACACATGGTGTACAGGCACACGTACGGGCGAAACAGCTATACACATAAAACAAAGGAAACCCATCTCTTAAAAAATGTTAAATAGGGTTTGACTGAAGAACAGTCATCATCCTCTGACCTAGTGCCTCTGGGATCCAATGACTCTGGGCTCTGCAGGCACCTGCATACATCTGTACATAACCCCACCCCACCACCACACACATACATATAAAAAAAGAAAACTATGTCTTTGAAATATATACCGCAAGCTGGGCACACGCCTTTAATCCCAGCACTCGGGAGGCAGAAGCAGGTAGATCTCTGTGAGTTCAAGGCCACCGTAGGCTCACAGATTGAATCTGTCTAAAAGAGAAGCGGAGCTAGGAAGCAATATGGCTGGGCAGAGAGAGAACTATAAAGACAGGAACTCAGTGAAGTGTGGAGTCTGAGGTTGATGACGAGCATTGCAGAATCACCCCTTTGTTTGTCTGAGCCTTGGTAGAAATAAAGAAATAAGATCTAATGGCTTGACTGCTTTGTTTTTCTGATCTTCAGCTTGAACCCCAATATTTGTCTCTGGGTTTTATTATTTGTGGTGTGTGTGTGTGTGTGTGTGTGTGTGTGTGTGCGCGCGCGCGTGTGTGTGTGCGCACGTGTGTGTGCGTGTGTGTGCGTGTGTGTGCGTGCGTGCGTGTGTGTGCGTGCGTGTGTGTGTGTGTGTGTGCGTGTGTGTGTGTGTGTTGACTGGCATGAGGAAGTAAGTATGTCCTTGTGTGATCCTGATGCAGTGGTATGCTCTTGCGGGAGGCTGATACTGGGGAATCCCTTGAGCTCCGGAGTTAAGGTGATTCTAGGAAAAGTGGCAATAACCTGTGTGCAAACAACACAGGCACATAAAATTGAGCGTGCTCAGGATATAGAAGTCATTTAAAGCCAAGATATTAACTTAGGAAATCTCGATCTATCCCAAGGAAAGACAGAGGAGTGCATAGAAGCAAGAGTTATGTGTTTTGGTTTTTTAAGACAGGGTCTTGCTATATAGCCCAGCTTAGCTTCAAATTCACAAGTCTCCTGCCTCAACTTCCCAGATGCTCTACTGATATACATGTCACCACATTTAGCTGAGAGGTTTTTGTTTGCCTTTTTTTTTTAATGAAGCCCAGGTGCTTGTGTCCTGAGATCCAGTTGCCACGGACAATGCACTAAGATACGGGAAGAAATGGAGAACAGTATCTTTTAGGGGACTGGGAGAAGTTAGTTGAAAGGTTCTCAAACAGGACACCCACAGGCACAAGAGAATACATGAGCACAGATGGATGGGTAGATATGGTGTGGGGTGACAGATGGCTCCCAACTTTGTCATCAAAACAGGGTAAGTCTACAAAGTAAGGAAAAACAAACACAGCCTTGAGATACCCAGTGCAAGTTCCAGGAGAAGCCACTTAGAAGTTAGGGTGGTAGTCCCCAGTGAGCCCAGCACAAGACATGGAGCAAAGACTGTGTGTTGGGGGGAGGGGGGAGAAACAGCTTCCTTTGAGGGTTTGTGTCCCCAGAGAAACAAACGTCACTTGTTCTCGTTCTAGCCCTAAAGGGCCTTGAATGCCAGGCCCAGGAACCTCAGTGTTTATTGTTGGGTTCCACCGTATTCCGTTCTGTCTCGTTGCCAGGCGGTACATTCCAGTGCGGCTATCAACTCCAGCCCCGCCCGTGCACCTGAGCACCAATGGCCTTCTACAGGAAGTTGAGGATCTTTACTTTTTGTGGTCAGATTTGCAAACGGACCTGTCGGTTCTTCGGGAAGCTGCGCAAGCGCCTCGGGGGGCTCTGGAGAACTGTTAAGAGATGTTTTACTAAGACCCAGGAGGTAGAGCAGCAAATGTCTGCAACTGAAAGCATTTTTCACAGAGAGAAAATTGTGGAGCTTGGCAACACACTGAAGAATACACGTCTATCCCTTGAGAAAAGAGCTTTGGCTGCCCAGAAAATTGGACTACTGGCCTTCACAGGTACTGCTTCGCTGCTGTGCTAACATAGCTGCTTCGTAATCTCCTTCTGCTCGTTAGAATACTGCAGTTTAGAAGGGATGATGATGATGATGATGATGATGATGATGATGATGATACCCTGGCTGTCCTGAAACGCTCTCTGTAGACCAGGCATAGATTCTGTTTTCAACATCAATCCAAGATCTTTCAAGTTCAATTTTAGATTCCAAGAAGGTACTAACTAAAAGGGCATGGGTTAAAGAGTATTTTGGTAGAAATTTCTAGCTCCTGGAGCTCTGTTCTTGGACTTCTCTATTTCTGTCTGCCTCTGTCTCATGAGTGCTGGTATGCCACCACTGCCTGGTCTCCATGACTAACTAGTATGGCTAGCTCTGCACTCTGATCTTCAGACAAGCTTTATTTGTTAAAGTACAAACAAAATATCACCACACCGGTCCTCTTATAATGACTTGGCTTTTCCTCCAGAAAGAGAATATCGAGGGAGCTGAGCCTGCCTCATGTGATCCCCAGCACAAATAGTTCCTTCACAGAGCATGGGGTATAGCTGAGGTTCCGGCCTCTCTAGTTTTGTTCATTCAATGAATATGGATAAGGACTCTTATATTTCCCCTCATGGATATCATTTAAGATCTGATCCCTCAAATTACACCTAAGAAATTTATTTTCCCACTTAAATAAAATTAAAGCACTCAGCCCTTCTAGCCAGCAACTTTTTTATCTTGAGAAAGGGTCTCAGGTGGTCCAGGATGGATGACCTTACACTTCCTGTCTTTCTGCCTCTATCTGAGAATATAGCTGGTCCTGGGGATTGAATCCAATGTCTCATGCATGCTAGGCAAGTACTCTGAGAACTGAGCCATATTCCCACCCTCAGAACATACTATTTTATTAGGATATGATCAAAAAGATTAAATAAAAATTTATATATTTCTTAAAATTCATTAGGGAAAGTGAATGGGTTGGACCTAGTAGTCATTAGGGCCATGTGGTTTCGCCTTTTACTAGTATAATTATTAGCTTGCTTTCTTTATTTATCTTTTTTTTGGGGGGGGCGGTTTGAGACAGGGTTTCTCTGTGTAACAGCCCTAGCTGTCCTGGAACTAGCTCTTCTAAATCAGACTGCCCTCAAACTCAACAGAGATTCGCCTACATCTGCCTCTGCCTCCTGAGTGCTGGGATTAAAGGTGTGAGCCACCACTGCCTGGTTTACTAGCTTTCTTAGTAACTGTTTTTGTTTGTTGATTGTTTGTTTTGTTCTGTTTTCTTGAGACAGGCTCTCTCTGTTATGTAGCTCTGGCTGTTCTGGAACTTGAATGTAGACCAGGCTGACCTTGAACTCAAAAAGATCCATCTGTTTCTGCCTCCTAAATGTTGGGATTAAAGGTATGCGCCACCATGCCTAGTTCTTCATAAGTATTTTAGGAGCATAAATTCTTATTGATTTTTTTCAAATACATTTTTTCTATTTAATGCCTTTTCCTGTTTGAGGAAGGGATTTGAGATGAGAGTCTTATTTTGTTGCCTTGACTGGCCTGGAATCACTGTGTAAATCAGGCTATCCTCAGACCTGCACAGACTTTCCTGTTTCTGCCTTCCAAACTGGGATTACAGATGTGTATTGTATACATAATAAATAAATAAATATTTAAAAAAAAAAAACTCTATCACAAAACCAGGCATGGTAGCACATGCATTTAATCCCAGTACTTGGGAAGCAGAGGCAGGGGATCTCTGATTTTGAGGCCGGCCTAGTCTACAGAATGTGTTCCAGGATAGCCAGGGACACACAGAGAAACCCTGTCTCAAAAAGAAAGAGAATGAAAGGGAAGGAGGGAGGAGGGGAGGGGAGGGGAGAAGGAAGGGAGGGAAGAAGGGAGAGAGGGAGGGAGGGAGGGAGGAAGGAAGGAAGGAAGGAAGGAAGGAAGGAAGGAAGGAAGGAAGGAAGGAAGGAAAACAGAATCTAGGACTAGGCTGGGTTGATGACCTAAAGGGGGCGGGAAAGTTTATATGTCAACATTGGTCTTGAATCTGGGAAAGAGTTGGGAATAAGAAATGTATAAGAGGGGTTGGAGAGATGGCTCAGTGTCTAAGAGGACTGGCTTCTCAGTCAGAGGACCTGGGTTTAATTCCCAGCAGCCACATGACAGCTCACAGCTGTCTGGAACCCCGAGATCTGAAACCCTCCCACAGACATACGTGCCAATGCATAATTAAAGAAACAAGTTAGAAATGTACAAGAACAGCTCAGCATTCATGACTCTCAAACACTTTTCTTCATTGCTCAGCCTTCGCATTCTCTCTGTGCTCTGACCCTCTCAGATTCACAGACTTCCCTCCAGGACAAAGACAGAACTTTGCTAAGCAAACACATCCCGATTATACCACTTGGATGTCTTCCCACCTCCGTCCACACAGCGGAACCAAGGGAGGAGCCTCAGCGGGCAGTGCCCTTCCCTTGCATCCCGCATGACTCCTCAGGTCTTCAGTTTCCATAGTGACACAGAAAAGGAAAAGTTAACAAGTCCAAAATGTTACCAACGGCTACCAGAATATGAACCTGGGTCTGGGGGGTATAGTGAGGCCCTGAACTCAATCCCCAGAACCAAAACAAACAGAATGACAGAGGAAATGGAGGCTGAGGAGCTAGCTCACTCAGTAAAATGCTTACTTTGTAAACATGAGGGCATGAGTTTGAGCCCTGGAATCCACATAAAGAGTTCAGATCCACATTTGAACTGGAGAGGTGGAGACGGATGGGTTGCCAGTCAGTCAAGGTAGTCTATTTGTAGAGTTCTAGGCCAAAGAGAGACCTGATCACAAAGTGTTAAAAGTATATAGCCCAGTGTGGTAGCTCACGTCTTTAATCCCATCAAGGAGGCAGAGACAAGCAGATCTCTTGAGTTGGAGGACAGGCAGGGCTATACAAAGGAATGATGTCTGAGGAAGGATGTCAATGAGGCATGAAGGCCAGTTTGTTGGGGTTTCTGTCCTGCCCGGTACCCCACAGCCGGCAAGTTCCAAAGAAAATCACACGGAGTCTACATTAGGTTGTAAACTGATTGGCCCATTAGGTCAGGCTACTTATTAGCTAATTCTTACATCTTACAGTAACCCATAATTCTTGTCTGTGTTAGCCTTATGGCTTGGTACCTTTTTCAGCTGTCAGCTCACATGTTGCTTCTTCGGTGATTTGGGCAGGAATGGCAGAGGGAACTTCCTCCTTCCTAGCCTTCTCCTGTTCTCATTGCATCACCTCTACTTCCTGTCTGGTTTTCCCACCTATACTTCCTGCCTGGCCAATCAGCATTTATTTAAAATATGATTGATAGATTACAGACAATTCTCCCACACCATCTCCTAACCTCAAGCATGTACATACATACAAACAGGCATCCCCATGTATGTATACACACACACGTACACACACATACACATGCATACATACACATGCACACACACACACACGTACACACACGAAGAATAACGTACAGGCTTACCAGCTATATTCACTACACACTTCTGGAAGCGAAAATCCTTGTCTTGCAGGAGGCCTGAGTGCTGCCCAGTTCGCCAGCGAGTACATGAAAGAAGTTGCTTCCTTGCTGCTGAATGAAAAAGTGATGTCGTCGAAGACGAAGATCCTGCTGCTCCAAAGCGTGGCGTGCTGGTGCTACTTAAACCCTGCCAGCCAGAAGAGAGCCAGGCAACTGCAGTTCATTCCCATCTTTATCACTTTCTTCGAGACTCCCTTCCACTCCACCATCAAGAGTGAAGTAAACAGTCACCGCCTCGTGCAGTTTTGGATATGCTATGCTCTCTCTGCCATGACCTGTAACAATTTAGCCATCATGAAGGAGCTGCGGTCTTACGGTTCTCTAAAATACCACCTGCAGATATTGGCCATGGAGAACTGGTCTGGGTGGTCTGAAAATTTTGCCGAGGTCTTATACTTCCTAGTAGGTTTTCACAGGAATTAATTCATTTTCAGTCTAGTTGCATGATTCAGCTATCTGTGCCATCGCATTACCCTGGAAACTTGCAATAAAGAATAAAATCCACGTGTTGTTCTACATTGTTGTCTTTTGCAGTTAAAAAGTCCTACACATGGGCTGAGCTGGTTCAGCGAGGAAAGTACCTGCTGTGCATGCCCAAGGACAAAAGTTTTGGTCCCCCAGAATACACCTAAAAGCTCTGTGGGTGTTGGTAGCCAACACGTGATCCCAGCAGCGGGGGTGGGCAGTGATGAGGGAAGACACACTAGGCCAACCTCAGACCTCTACACATGCACCACACACATACAAACATGTACGCACATACAGTCTATGTAGACATCCATACAGTGTGTTAACTGTAATCATAAAACCTCTGAACAGAGCCACTGCTTATTATGAATTTATAGGTCTAGAGCTTCTTGAGCTCATACAAGTGTCGCTCCCATTAGGAAACAAAGGTGTTAAATCAGCCAGGCTTGTAATCCCAGCTCAGCTAGGTGGCGGCAGGAGGGTTATGAGTTCACAGCTAGCCTGGGTAACACAGGGAGACCCATTCTCCTGGGCTTGAGGCCGGCCTGCTCTGCAGAGTGAGTGCCTAGACAGCCAGCGCTATACGAAAACAAACAAACAAAAAACCCTGTCTCGAAAAAAACAAGAGAGAGACCCTATTCTCAAACAAGTAATTAATTAATGAATTAATTAATGATTAGAAAAGGCTGGCCAAATGTGGTAGAGCAAACATTTAATAAGAGCACTTAGGAGGCAGACCTCTGAAGTTTGAAGCCAGTCAGTCTTGCCTACATATTGAGAGTAACAGACCAGCCCGAGATCTATAGTGATACCCTGTCTTAAAAAAAAAAAAATTAAAAAAAGGCCAGGGGTAGGGTGCAGTGTCAGGGAGGGCAGCTGGAGAAATGTTTCAGTGTGGATAAAGAGCTTGCCACACAAGTATATGGACCTGAGTTTGAATCCCCAGAATCCACCTAAAGCTGAACACAGTAGAATGTGCTTGCAATCCAGCATTGTTAGGGCAATATGAGAGGAAGAGACAGGAGAATCTCTGAAGAGACCCTGTCTCAAACAAGGTAGGTGAGGACCCTGAGACTGTCCTCTGACCTCCACATGACCACTGCAGCACTCACACATCAATACTCACACATATGAACACACACACACACATCATAGACATACACACAAAAAATATTTTTTTAATGGAAAACAAAAAGCAATTTGACCTGGTGGTACACTCCTGTGATCCCTGGTTTAAAGCCAAATGCTACAAGGTCTTAAGGGGTAGAAAAATGGCTAAACAATAAGAGCGCTTCCTACTCCTCCAGAAGACTTGGAAGGTGGGGGCAAGAGGTCAGAGTTCGAGGTCATCCTCGACTGCTGACTGAGGTCAACCTGAGGTCAACCCGAACTCCGTGAGATTCTTTCACACACTCTGCAGCACGCAGCTGCAATTAGAGGCAAAGGGCTGCGGGCTGCGTGCCATCACAGTGTTGAATATTGTTTGTGGGAATATTGGTCTTAGCCTTTACACAAAGGCCAAAGTGGTTGCCTTCAATGTCTACCATTAAACTATGAACGTTATCTTCTAATGACTGCTTGAAGCTGATTTAGAACATTTGCTTAATTACCGATTCCTCATAGAGAAAAAAGCATGCCCTGGGTTCTCGTCGTACCATGTTTACTAGAAACAGCAACAAAGGCCTCTAATCTTAGCACTTGGGAAGTAGGATCAGGAGTTCATTGCTTCCCATCTCAACAGGTCAAAGCAATAACAAATATCATACACTTCACACAACTGTATCAAAGATAGTTCTAAAAATGAAACTGACTAGTAATAATGTCTTGTTATTCCTACACTGTCGCTTCTTCATTACTGGACTCTAGTTCTGCTGGTGTGGAATTGGCTTTTGGATTTCTTGGAAGGTCAGAGGAAGAAACCAATAGATAGTTTTGTTCAATTTCCATATCTAATCAGAGGGGTCAGAAAGCTCTTCGGACTGTGCTCAGGGAACCTTTCCTCTACAGAAGGAACTGTAAGACTGGCTGACCACCAAGCCTACTTAAGCTCCAAAAGCTGCCTGTCATGTGGAAGGAGGTAAAATTCAAGTTAAGTCTTGCAGCACTGTAGTGGGAAGCCTTGAAAGCCAAACTGGATAACCAGTTCTCAAGTCCTTTTGTTTCCCTTTACTAACCCTTCTTAAATCATCTCTCCAGCATTTGGGTTTTCCCAGAACAACTCGAAGGTACGGATCTGCTGGAATTAGGGGGCACTTGGCAGGGTTGTGTGTGTGTGTGTGTGTGTGTGTGTAAACCTAGTGCAGTGAGAAATTCCTGGAATTTATGAGGGTGACCCTAGTGATGGAGGATATTGAGTCTGAACTGACCATTTTTGTAGCCAGTTAAGGTTTCAAGTGGTGAGACTGGGTTACATTTGGTTGAGGCCTAGGAGGTCCTCGGAGATTCCTAAACCCAGTCGGAGGCAAGGACAGAAGGTCACTCTCTGAAAACTGCCAAGGACAACTTCCACTTGGTATATTGAATGTAGAGAGGTCAAGCTGGTCCAAGTTTGGAGACTTCATCCCTACTACATTCTAGTCTCTTTGGCATGGAAAGGTACTCTGCAGGAGATGTAAAGAGAAACCTGGACATCAACCCAGACACAAAACCCTCCACCTACAATCTGTCCGGCCTGAAAGATGTGTTGGGGCAATGGTGGTCCAGAATTTGTATGAGTGGTCAACCAAAGATGACTCAGTGGTTAAGAGTACCAGAGGACCCAGGTTCAATTCCCAACACCCACACAGCTGCTAGCAACTCTAACTCCTGTAACTGGGGGTAAGGAACTGAACCCAGGTTCTGTGTAAGAGCAGCAGGTACTCTTAAGCACTGGATTATCTGTCTAGTCTCAATTTCTTAAAAAATATAATAGTCTCAAAAATGTTTCCACTGACACAAACTGCTTCTTGCACAGGCATCAAGTTCACCTGACTTCTCTCTAGCCTCAGCCAGCATCTATCCCGTCACCATCCGGCTATGTGCTCTGCTGCTATGCTGTTACGGCTAGCACGCTACTCTGAAGTGCCTGCATCCTGCTTCCACCTCAACCCTGATACTGTTAACTGTGTGTTATTCCCATGGGTCACATGATAGGTGGGAGTTTGAGGTGCAAGCCAAAAACTGATGATTCAAACTGCATGAATGGATGAACATGCTACCTTGTGGGTACACAGATAAGCAATCAGCCCTAGGAGATGGGCTTCTGGGCATGTCGGTGGGGGATTGTGTTACGGCAGTAAGACAGAAATACTAGGTATGGTATGTTGGACCTCATGAAGCCCGCGTAACTTCCGAAGCCTAACTTGAGTTTAATGAGGCCCAGTGTAACTTACTAAGCCTAACTTCAGTTTAGTGAGGCCCAGTATAACTTCCTGAGCCTAACCTGAGTTTGGAGAGGAATGACTCAGCACAGCCTGACCTAGGCCTGCCTCTGCCCAGCCACTGCTGAGCAGGATATTACTGACCCTTATTTCTTATTCCACCTCACCCCATCCCAAGACTTCCACACACTACCTCAGCCCTATATAAGTTCCTGCCCTGATGCAATAAAGTGAGATCCTGCTTTGACAGACTCCTGGCTCAGTGTCTGTTTCTCCTGGTGGCCAGGGGGGAGGTCTGGGTTGTCAGCAATCACCATCCTGCTGGGCCCAAGGGAGAGATCGGCAGGACTGGCTCTGCCTCAGTCCCCTATCTGCTGGAAAACCCCCAATGGTACCTTTCCCTGAATGAGATCCCCAAGTTAAAGAAAGCATAACAGCAACATGCATTTACCACTCTGCTTTCTGATGTCAGTGACTACGTGACCAACTGTCACAAGCTCCTACAACCTTGACTTCCACATCGTGGTGGATCGCCCTTGAAGTGTCAGCCAGAATAAACTTCCTTGCTTAAATCATCTTTGCTGCGCTGGAGAGATGGCTCAGCAGTTAAGAGTACTGATTGCCCTTCCAGAGGGCCCAGGTTCAATCCCCAGCATCCACATGGAAGCTAACAACGGTCTGTAACCCCTGTTCCAGGGCAAATAACACCCTTACCTTATATGTGTGTGTGTGTGTGTGTGTGTGTGTGTGTGTATACACCTAAGTTTGTATATATACAAAAAACACCGATGCACATAAAGTAAAAATAAAAAATTCTAAAATAAATTGTGTTTGCCAGAGAATTTTATCACAGCAACAGGCAAAGAAACTGAGCTATCACTGCTAAAGACAAAGCCTGCATAAGGCGATCTACCTGTGCATCACCCAAGAACTTGGACCTATTTCAGATGAGCTGGGAACCCCCATTCCAGAAGAACCAAGCCTCCCAAAAGTGCAAACACCACAGTAGGTGTCCCCGGCATTTGTGCCCATTGCTATCAAGTTACCTGGAAATGTTAGCAACATTATTTGAATAAATTCCTCTTTGAGTATCAAACCATGTAATAGTAATTTGAATTTTAAATCAAATGGAAATAAGTTTGAACTGAAAAAAAAATTACTGTGGGGAAAATGGAATTTATTTGTCTTGGCTTTTTTAGACAGGGTTTCTCTGTGTAGTCCCGATTGTCAAGAATTAAAAGTGTGTGCCACCATTGCCCAGCAGGAAAATGGAAGCTTTACTCCTGCTGGGGAACTGGGCTGGTACACATACTGTAAGGACCCATTATCCACCCTATCCAGTGGACTCTGGTGCTGATAGTTACAAATTTCTTGCCATTCCTTGACCTGTGATTTATCAGGTAAAACCTTAATTGTGGTTTTTTCGTTGCTATTGTTTTTTGTTAGGTTGGTTTTTTTTTTTTTTTAAGACAAGAGTCTTACTATGTAACTTTAAAGTGACAATCGTGGAATTCGCTCTGTACACCAGGCTGACCTCAAACTCGGAGATTCTCCTGCCTCTGCCTCCTGAGTGCTGCGATTACAGGCGTGCCACCACAGAAGGCTAAATCCAGAGAGCTCCTTTGAAGGGACAGTTTGTTAAACAAAATGAAAGGCCCTATGGCAATG